CGTTCACATTTAGAAGAGATGCCCACCCGTGCACATAAACAGGCCCTCCATCCAACTAAATCCGAAGACCGCCTTCAGAAGATCATGGGTTCGAATCCCATCCGTGACATTGGCCCTTTTTATCTCAAATTTCGCGTTTAAAAATTAACTTATATGTAATACACAATTAGCACAGTGTGTTGTCGTGTTTATGTTTGTGCTTGCAATTCTGTGAAAACACATGAGAATAATCCAAAAAGAAAAATGAAGAGTAGTCTTCGTGTCATCAAGGTTTTGGTTGTTTTTCTCCCAAAAAGGACAGAGGAGGATCCGCAAGTCCGAACATAGGCCCCGAACCTATACTTTATAACAAAAACAAATATAGAATCCTCCAACGCAGAATGGATCCAAACAAAACAAAAGGACAAGTGGATAAACTCTAGCGGTGCTAGACATAGTAAACTTATGGTGAAGCAACCCTCACCAAGACTGACAAAAACACTGCTGCAATTGGAGACGGCCAAACTCAGAGGAGTGGTAGGACTAATAACCGGTCACTGGCATCTGAGAAAACATCTAGACAACATGGGCATATGGAACGAAGATCCCATCTGCAGATTACGTAATGAGGAGCAGGAAACAGCCCAAAAAATGCGAAGCAACAGCTGAATGGAGATTCAACCTGACACCCGAAAAAAACTTAGGGAATCAAATTGTACCAGCGACAGTCAATGCCCAGATACTTCTAAGGAGAAGGATTGAGTCTATTGCACTGAACTAAGAAACTAGGAAGGTACAATAATCCAGAAGGCTGCAGTGCCTGGGGAATTCAAAACCCTGCTTCCTTGTATCCTTATCGCCATACCATAACCAAAAAAGCGAAAATTTCTTTTTTTCCTTCTCAAGAATCCCCTAACATAACTTTCTTTTTAAATTATTAATTATGAATTACTTGAACATATTCTCTCTCTGATTACAGGTATTTCTTGTTATAAAATAACATTAAATAGTTATCAAAAATTGTATTACATACATTACAGAAGTTGAAAGTGAAATAAAAACTTTTTATTTATAACTAAGTCGTAACAATAATTTTTCATTTACAATAAATGTTTTACGTTTTGACACATAAGATCAATTTTAGAAAACTCAAAAAGTCCTTTAGTTATTAATTATGCTGTGGTTGCCGGCCAGGCATAGACTCTCGAAGTTGCATTGCAAATTAAATTAAACCTTCATCTGTCTTGATGACTGCATTGGTAAATAAGGAACTTCCAATTTTGGGGAAGAGCTTTCTAATAGCAATTTGGACTGGGTACATTTGAGGCCCTGAGACAGCTTTTCATGTATCGAGAAGTGATAATTATTTTGAAAAATTCTTTTGTCCATTAACATCCAATGTTGCATACTTCTAACTTTTTTACTTAATTTGTATCAAAGGCGATAATGCTTTTTACGGTAACTAACACTGAGGGTGGCATCGTTCGTTGATTCCTTTGCCATTTGATCTGGAAGCTCGTTGCCGATCGTGTACCCAAAAGCGCATTAGTCCAATTGAATTGAACTGTCCAAAGCATAACTTTCTAAAGGTGGTGCAGCACTTTTCTAGTTTCCTCGGCAAGCTCTGTTCATATTGATCGATTTTTTTAATGTCAAATGCACCCGAGTGTCGGCTATAATGATCACTTTTTCAGGTTATTCTTTTGTTGTTGACACATCCTAGGACGTTTAACTACTGACTTATTGTCATAACTCGAAAAACTTATTCTTCCAGATTCCTAGTCGGTATTTTTCAAAAATATGATTTCTTGAATAAAGACGCCATGACTGTTATTCTTAAACATTTTTATGCCTCAGTAAAGACATCTAGTTATCGTCTTTGAGTCGATCAAATATAAAATAACTGATTTTCTGAACTGTTAGGAAAAAAAACTTTTAAAATAGCATTCCTTGGTTTGAAAAATTTGGAAAAAAGATTAGTACACTCTTATCGCAGTCGTGATAACCTCAGTCATTTTAAGCTCGCTAATTTTGGAAACTGCTTCGAAATAGCAGAATATGATTTTTTTTTTTTAACTGTTACCAAACTCCGAATCAATTTATACAGGGTGTCTCTGAGATTTAGCACAATCTCCTACAGTTTTAAGATTTTCTTTTAAACTAATATCAGTTTTTTTTTTAATGAGAACTACTTAGTTCTTAACATACTTTTACTATCTTTTATAATAAAACGACGCCAAGATTAATTGCGCATTTCGGATTGATATTTCTAGTCAGATTTCGTCGGCTATTTGCTATTTTTAGTGTTGTTTCAAGGTTTTGTGGAATTTCATCTGTCAAAACATCATCGCTTCATTGGAATAACTTGATTTAAATTTTGCAATAAAACTAGACCTCTCATCACTCACTTTAGGAGGTTTAATCAATACCTAAACGTTTACGAGTCAAACGTAAACAAATTACAACAATTCTTTATCTTATCTCTGTTTTTGGCTCAACAGTTTGAACTCACAGTGAGATTTTTAAAAATAATTATTTAAAATGTCTTCATTTTACCAAGAAAAGGTCGATTTGTATAAATGAATTTACGCTTCTTTACGTACGATTTCATAAAGATAAATATTCTCGGGAATTTAATTGGGTCAAATTATTGGGAGGGCTAATATAAAACTTTTTTTTAGTCATTTGTTTACAAGAAAAATGTCAATATTACCGTAATATCTCTGATATCGAATAGTCTACGATATTAATAGATGTGTTAAATTAATAGAAAGTAGAACTTGTAGGAAACAATAGAATTTATACAAGACTGGCATTTTTGACTTCAAACAATTGCTAACCCACTTTCAGACAGGTACACATTCGTACACGCTCCATATCACTACAAATTTTGTCTATCGGCGTTGAAATGTTTCATATTCAAACTGTTAAAACACTGAAAATAATATCTAGAAATGTGCAAATATCAAGGTTTGGAGGAATGCTCAAAATTCACCGGTTACTGGTTCAAAGAAATTTATTTGCATTGTACAAAATAAATATTTTGTTGGATAACACATTAATACGATATTAATATTGTATTGTGAGTAAATTATTAATGTATGATTTCTTCCTGAGGTCTGCTGGGATGATCCTGCAGTTCAGCCGTTTCTGGTCATTCTGGTCCGCCTAGACCCAAGAAGAAATCATACAATCATTATTTAGTCATTTTCTGCGGTGGGTTTGTATTGTTGTCCTGCTCGCTTTTATTTATTTCTTACTATAAACGAAATGACGGAACATCTCTGACAGACCAGAACAACAAGTGCCGGGTCGGTTGAGAAGCTCTCACGTATCAAGAGCACATCTATAGGTGGACCTGTCTGAGAAGAAGGGCCACTGTCGCCCGATTAAGGATAGGCCATGCGAGGTTGACACTTCATCCTTATTTTTGAGCCAAAGCCCTCGTATGTATCAAGTATGTAGAGAAACGTTGCTCGTTGTGCCCCACCTAATTGAACGGTGCAACTCCTCGTTGTAAGCGTGTAGGAATACCACCCGATATGTGAATCGTCCAGCACGGCAGCGAGTATCTGGGTTCCCTGATCCGATTTTTGGGGAAACATGGTTCTTTTATTGTATATAGAATGATAGATTCACTAATTTCGTGGTCCGCTTGACCAATTAATACAATTAATTAAGGTTTTTAGTTGAGATGAAAAAAAAGCTAATGGCACGAGAGGGATTGGAACCCACGACCTTCGGCTTGATACGCCGCTGCTCTACCACTTGAGCTATCGTGACCTCGATCCACTCGGACATCAACTCCCCATCTCAACCCCCATCTCAAAGGTCGTGGGTTCGAATCCCTCTCGTGCCATTAGCTTTTTTTTATCTCAACTAAAAACCTTAATTAATAGTAATGATAGAGTTGTGTACCGAGCACGTATTGATAATGAATGAATTTATTAGCGCGAATGTTGAATCCATCCTCGATTCGGTTAGTTATATAATTGTGTAAACGTTGATGGTTGAAAGACAATAACAAAGAACGTATTTAGTGTGAGTGAGAGTGAGAATGACCTAGATGTTGACAGCATTCGGAGATTAGCCCCCAATGTCTGGCCACCGGACTGCCAACACCCAGGGTGGTTGATTCTCGAATTTTATTGTAAATTTTAAAAGCTGGAATTGCCTGTAGGCTGCGAGAAGTGATAGGCTCAACTTTGTACAACTCTGTGTATAAACGTATATACATGTGCAGGTTTGAGTTTATATAAATTCAAAACCAAATCCAATGCAACGAAACTAAACAGTTCAAAATGATCGGAAACGACAAATAAATTATTTATGAATTTATTAATTTTTAGTAACTTACTTGGTCACAGTCTCTCTCTCTCTCTCTCTCTCTCTCTCTCTCTCTCTCTCTCTCTCTCTCTCTCTCTCTCTCTCTCTTTTCCTCTCTCCCTCTCTCCCTATCTCCCTACCTCCCTCCCTCCTTCCCTGCATCTGAAACAATACTATATTATTCTTATATATAGAATATTAGAATATATTCTTAAAGATAAGTTATTTCTTATCAGTTGACCCATTTACTTCTCGGTAACATCTTTTCAGTATAAATAAAACTTCGATAAGACCTTTTTCTAAATCGCGCAGTGGCGTTGTAGTTTTAAGCCGTACGAAGCACATCCCCCCCTCCAGTGAAAGCTCTGTCGTCCTGATCGTATACATTGTTGGAATAATTGATTTTTGTCACTTTCACAATCCGGGCCCCCAGAGCGAACTTGGCCTCAGTTCTTCAATTCGAATTAATCAGCTTCGAAAATGTGCGCGGACGTCGAGTCATTTCCGATCATTATTCACGGAGGCGATTCGTTAAGGATTCAAAAGTTCCAAAAGGACAAATTTTAACATCGGATTAGGATATCTTTTCAGGCCGGATGCCTATCAAACATCTTTTTTTTACTATCTTCCTTAGTCCAAAGAATATTTATAAAAGTGATAAAGTGTGACAATTAAATTGAATATGTTTGTTGCAGATTTTACAACAAAGAGCTGAACGAGGGGAAGATGACGAAATCGGAGAGGGAGTTGAAAATATCGCTCTTCAGATCGAAGATGAAAACGCCGGTTACATGGAACACTTTTTTAAAGAGGTAATTTCTAAAAGCAAACAGCATTTATAAAACAATTTGAAGCTTTAAGACTTTGAAGAAGAAGTGAAATTACAGCCATAAAACTCACTTAAGATCACAGCTTAGAAAGTAAAGAATGAACTGTGTGGAAAATTATTGATCAATAAAAACTTGTGAGCAATTATGATATTTATGTAGTTTGGTCATTTCGGTTCTTTTGGCCTGCCTATCATCGCTGACTGGGTCGTTTCGACATTTCACAATCTTCATTCGTGGGTTTCTATGTTATCAATCTTGCTTTTTTTAAATATTTGCAAAGTGATAGGTTTTCATGTTAGGGATGTAAGTAGTACCACTGGCCTCCAAGAAGATGACGAAAAACTGCGTCTGACATGAAAACAGCGAGACTAAGTGGATCAAAATTGTCGTAAACGAACAAACTACAAGTTCGTCACCCCGGAAACCCAAGAAGAAAGCACACAATTTAGCAAAATTTATCTTAAATTAATATATTCTCCAATCTTAATTTTCTATCGCTCATTTTTAAGGAGTCACTGCCTAAATAGCAAAAGAAATCCTCAAAATTTTCTTTTTAAATCGCCTTTTCTAAAAAGTCTTTATTCTATCAGACTTCAATTCTTTCCAGGCATTTTGGTATAAATATAATAAAAATTTGCTGACCGGAAGTATTCTAAATAATTTCTTCAAAAGTGCAAATATGGCGTTTGGAGTCAAGCTCAGATCTCACTCAAAACTAATTTGCCAAAATTTGTTCGCAAGGGGAAACTTAATTAAGTTAATAATAATTAAATGGGAAAATTGGCCTCCTTTCTGTACGATTATCTACGGAACCCCTTGACCAAATTGTTTTCACGATCTCCTGAATTTGAATTTTGAAAATATCCTTTTAAAAACGAGTTGTAGTGTTGCAAATTTCACCGGTTTTTGTGCATGATTTGAATTTGTTGAAATTTACGCTCGAGTGGGAATTTTGATAAATTCATTTTCCGAGAAAAGTGCATCATCGAGTCAAAAAACGTACTTTTCACGAATAACGGAAAAACTGCAAAATCTATCTTGTTGGTTGTTGTTAAAATCGTCATATAGCTGGCAATATTTTTAAAAAATAAAATTTATTCTTGTACCTCGTAAATTTTAGTGATTTTTACTCATATCTGCTATATCACACAAACCAGTTCAAATTTTACATTTTTCCTCAAGACCGATATATTTTTTGTTTTGTTTTTATAGAGACATCCAAAAAATTGTTAAAAGGGCAATGCAAAAAATTATTTTTAAGTTAAAACAGAGACAAATGTTGGAAAATGGATATAGGTAAGATCTGAGCTTCCTCTTCTAAATGCCATACTTGCAATTTTCAAAAAATTATTTAATAATAGTCTCTTGGGTTAGGGTTGTGGTCAGAAAACTTTTCCGACCACAACCCTAATCCACTGATCCACGAGACTATTAATGAAATTTGCAACACTTCAACTCGTTTTTAAAAGGATATTTTCAAAATTCAAATTCAGGAGATCGTGAAAACAATTTGGTCAAGGGGTTCCGTAGATAATCGTACAGAAAGGAGGCCAATTTTCCCATTAGATAAGGTCGAGGCAGTGACCCCCTTAACGCCATTAAAAATGCAAAATTGTCCTGACATTCATTCTGTCACAAAAATACGCCCTTTTACAAAAACAAGCTGATTTGTTTCCAATTTCGTTTTCCTCAGGAAGGCGTGGTTGGAGTAAAAGTCCTCCTTTGGCTTGGGACCGTTAGCTAAAACTGGAACAATACCCCTTCCCACTCCGAGGCTTTTATTTTTAAGCTGTAGCTTTTCAATTTGAAAAAATTTGTAAATTTCTCAAAGTCGTGTTTTGGGGTCAGGTTCTAAACTCTACTACAAAAATATTCGAAGTCAAAGTAAATTAGAGTTAACCAAATATTTAGAACCTGAGATATTAAAATAATTGTGAACACCCAATTCAACTGCACATAAAGCAATGATAAGTACAATCGTGATGAAAAAAAAATAAACAAGGGAAGAAATCGGGTAAAAACTCACTGTAGTTTGTTGTTTGTTTTTATAAAGAAATATTTATTTGTGTTTCTTAGTGACCTGTTGTTTCATAATTTGTTGAAGTCGTGGGGAACGGTCACCAATGAGATAGTTTAGAAAAACACTTTTTTCATTTTTTTTTTGCCGACGTTTCGACCTTTACTCGGGTCATCTTCAGGGCATAAAGTGTTGTTCTATTCTTGTGGTGTCATATTGGTTTCGTGTGCAAGTGTTGTCACACAAAACCAATATGACACCATAAGAACAGCACCACACTTTATACCCTGAAGATGACCCGAATAAAGGTCGAAACATCAGAGGGAAATGAAAAAGGTGTTTGTCTATACCTCATTCTTGACCGCTCCTCATGACTTCCACAAATTATGCAATATTTATAATTGAAATGATCACAAGTAATATTATCTTCTTTTTAAACCCCTTCACTTTTCAATGGGCATAAACACAAGTAGCAAGGGTTAGAGGAACTTGAGAAATCATGCGAGCCAGCTTGTAACACGTTTTTAAACGACGCTCACGGAATAAGACGAACGATATTCTTCAATATTCTTCACCCGTAGAATCGGAAACATGAACAGAAATACGTGACTGTCGGCAATTAATAAGTCCCGACTCGAAGCAGTTCGTGTCCGAATTAAATGATAAAAGTCTGTAACGACATCCTCTTTTGTCGAACTGCCAATTATCCTGGACAAATTAAGACGGATCTTAATTCGAATTAAACTGAAGACAAAAAGATTAATATTTGCCTAACTTCATTGGAGTTCGCTCATAAACAAACATATTAAAAGTAAATGTGAGAATTTTTTTATGTAAAAGCAAATCACAATTAGTTAAAAATTAACAAAAAGACAGAAATATTTGGTCATAATACTAGAAAAACAGAACAGACTATCTGCTTTATCGGTGCTCATTTTTTAAACTAAACTTCTTAAGTGAAAAGCTATTAAGTATAATTATTGTTTTAGCATTGAATAGATCTACATAAACTACATAAAAAGGCCGTTAAGCAGTACTTACCTACGTTGAAAAGCACAGACTTTTTTAGCAGATTTGATTTCCAACACCTTCCACATTCGACTTCCTACAATTGTAAACGTGTGGTCTGTACTTTCAATTTGTAATGGGTTTAAACAGTTTTATGGCTTTGGTTGATTTGTCTCACCCAACGGGAGCATCGGTTTTATATCATTTTTATTTCTCTATTTTCCATTGATGCAATTCGTTTTGGGCTTAGTTTTACAAGACTTGTTTGACCAGGTCAAATTTTTAGGTTTTTCGTAAAACTAGAAACGGCCAACGAATTTGTAAGCGGGATTTTGTTTTCAGATGGAACAAACACGAGGATGGATAGACGAAATAAATGATCACATCACGATAATCAAGACTCTACACTCTTCTCTACTTTCTTCACCACGCCCTGACGAAGGTGAGTGAATCTTTTATATATATATATCGTCGGTTGGAAACCAAAAACTACTCAAAAGTTTCATAAAATTTATTTATTTATTTTCATTTAAGACAGGCAAACAATGCCTATTAAATAAAATATACATACCGTATAAATAATAGCAAAAAATTAAATCAAATATTAAAAATTGTGCTAAAGAAAACATGACAAAAATAAATCAAAAACAAAACTAGATCCGAATTTACAAAATTTGTAGAAATGCAGACATAATCTTATCTTAAAATATTCCTAATTTTAATTTAATTAAATATAAATATTGAAACAAATATATACTTTCACCCCGAAGGTTAGTTACTTCCTGCTGTGCCTAGGGTCTATACTTAAGGGAGTTTGCCTACCCTATTGTTTGGTGGGTCGATAATATCTCCCTTAAGCCAGATGCCCAGGAGATTGTCACTCCAAACCAACGGGATTAGGCTCCAGCTAAAGCTTTCAGCATACACCAATGCATGCCAACTATAATCTAGTATAAAACTAACTTCTATAATACAGTCGCACAAATAAATACATTCACACATTAAATACATTGCGCTCATTCTGATTAGTCGGTTGAGTACTCGATAATCCTCTATCGACCTCAGACAACATTGATCAACAATAATCTAATCTAAATTAGAGTCGATGGGGTATGTTTATTAATAATATTCACCATCAGTCCCTCTCCATTCACACTATAAATAAATACACGCACTCAAACAAAACACATAATATTTTTAAAAACCCAAGTCCTCCAAAAAGCAGAACAGGGGATCTTACTACCGTGCTGGAGAAAATTTCTTGAATCCGGCGTCATGCCTACATGCTCTCTGTAAAGAGTCAAGGCTCAGCTTCTATTATGTAGAACATGTTGAGCAACCTTTCTCTGCATAAGGGTCACCAACATAGGTTTTGGCCCAAAAGCTGATGCTGACTCAGGCATGACTGTTCGTTTCCGGCTCAGATTCTCGAGGGGCCATCTACAGTTCATGCTCTCGAATGACTTACATCTGTATGAAAGGGAAATTAAAATGATTAATCTAAGAAGATATTTATAGTTGATTTCATCAGATTTAATCATTAATCATGTTCAATAAATCTTAAACACTTATTTTGAACCTTCTCAATTCTATGAGAATGATATTCTTAATATGGAGACTAAATAATAGAAGAATATTCAAGTTGTAATCTAGAGAAAGAGCAAAAAAAAAAATTTAATTGACTGAATATTACTAAAGTGCTTGGTCTTTCTATAATAATACCGAACATTTTTAATGATAGCAATTTACAAATGAAAGAGAGGGTAAAACAGAATACAAAGATCATTAAAGCTATTGATTCTATGTAGAGGTTTGTATTTGCTATGAGTTCGAATCCTGGCATAGCCAATGGCGTTTTAAGTAGGAATAATATAGAGAAAGTATTGTGAAGTAGTTTCATCCTTCATCCACAACACTCAATGGGTAGTTGGATCATGGATGTTAAGACCTCGTGCACGACTAGTAGATCGTGTAACTATCTTTTGCATGGATCTCTTTCACACTGAGCAAATCGTGTCATTAGTGCCACAAACTCAAATAATTTAATTTTAAAAAGGAAAAATTAGGACCTGACCCAACTAAACCAAAACTAGTTAACTTTTTAAAGTGTGTATTTTTTCATTCATTGTTTAAAGGTGTTCATTGATCAAAGTCACGAGGAGCAGTCGGGAATGAAGTATTTTAAGAAAACACCTTTTTCATTATTTTTTGCCAAAGATTTGACCTTTTTTCAGTTTATCTTCAGGGCTTGGATTACAAAACATGTTGATTTGAAAAAAAAAAAAAAAAAAAAAGATGTAAATATAAATTTACAATCAAGTATTTTATACGCACACAATTGTACACTTTATGAGAGTATGAAATACTTCGATATTCAACCATTGGCCGTCTCAACTACACTTTCACATTAATAAATACATTCAATCTCAATACATACATGTGATATCTATCTATTTATACAATAAAAATAGATGTTTCCGCAAAAAATCAGAAGAGGGGACCCAAATTCTCATCGGGTGGCATTCCCCATGCCACTCTTTATATGGAACTAAGGAATGGCACCCTTCAATTAACTGGGACACATCGAGCAACCTTTCTCTGCATTCCAGACACATAAAAAATTAATTGTCATTTATATTACTGATATTTCCGTTTAAATAACCATAAATAGTGATCAAATTTTTTGTTAAATAATATGTAAATAATTATCTCCTTAACTTTTGATTATTTTCAAAGGTCTTATAAAACAATCATCTTTTATTGTATCTGTGATCTTAAAATTTTAAAAAACCCAAATTCTTCAAATGTTATTCTTTCAAAAAGACAAAATAATTAATTTATTCTTTATTAATTTTTAAATTGACATAAACATTTAAGACTTATTTTCATTATTTGTAGTTGCAATTAAGAAATTGCATTAACATAAGGCTGTTAATTGAAATTTTTATTGTATTATTCACCTATAAACAATGATTATTTGTACCTTTTGCTATATAATTTTTTTTCCAATTGTTCAAAGGTATAAAACAAGAAATAGAATCAAGGACAGCACAGGTGAAACAACTTGGTAAAAAAGTTAGCGTTAATCTTAAAGGTAAGTGTTTAATCAATTGTTGTAAACTAATTATCGAGCATGAATAACATTCCAATTAAATTTAATTCTTATTTCAACAAGTTCAATTATGCAAAAACTACATGCAGATTAGACAGTTAAGTTAAGACAGTCTTTATTTCTCATAATTTCGGTGATAATAATAGCTAAGTTATTGATTTGAAATTGTTTTTAAATATGATAAACGATGTGTGGAAATTGTCCGCCAGTGAAAAGAAATAAGATTAAAATAAGGCATTTTCTAAACAATTGGGAGCAATCTACCATATGTATGAATGGACCATCATCTCTCTTTGTCTCCTGTCACAACACATTACCATTTAAGGAGAACAAAAGCTTGAAGTTTTAAAACAAGAATTTTTTTTAAATGTGCGAGTAAAAGCTGATAAGTCAAAACTCGGTGTTAAAGATAAGAGTAAAATTCATTTATAGATAAAATTCCCTTTGTTACACTGTGTTCATGACTTGTGACTATCTTGAAACTCTTCCTTGACCGATGAACAAAACGCCATTTGGTCAGTTCACAAAATGAACAAATACAATATAATAGAAGCTCATAATATACAAAACTAAAAATGTTTTGGCTCTGGCTAAAAACAACCAACATTGTCTTCTGATTCTTACAGAACTGTATTCTGTAGTGTGTTTTTAAAAATTTCTTTCCAATAATGTGCGTTTGTTTTCTCAAAATTCTTATGGAACAATTTATGAAATTTTGAAGCCAACAAACCATTCTAGAAAATATTCGATCATTTAAATTAATTGAAAATATAGTTTTATTTTTTAATTTATATGGTGAACAAATTAAACACATTGTTACTATTCATTGTTGCCACAGCTCTTGAGAAAGGTATTCGCCAGGAAGAAGAAGAAATAGAGACAAACGGCAGGATGCCCGCCGGCTTGAGGATCCGTCGTACCCAGCATTCGGCAACGTTACACCTTTTTATGGAAGCTATGTGTGTTTTTAATTCTGAACAAGTCGACTACAGAGAAAAATGTACAGAAAGAATTCATCGAGTTATATCGATAGGTAAAAAAAAATAAAAGCTTTTGGTTGTTAATTAATTAAAATTTAAATTGACTTCTACCCTTATTTTTGTTCACCAGCCAAAGCTGTCGTCCCAGAGGAAAAAATCGAAGAGTTACTCGATCAAGGGAACTATGGCCCAATTTTTAATGGAGATGTAAAATAATCCCATGTTTCAAAATTGACTTTTTTTGTGTTTTATTTAATCAATTCATGCATTTGCCACTTTCAGATAATCACAGAGACGAAGGAAGCTAGAAAAGCACTAGAAGATGTTCAAGCACGGCATCAAGAACTTCTTAGTCTTGAAAAATCAATCCAGGATTTGAGAGATCTCTTTTTGGAAATGGCTCTGCTTGTTGACCAGCAGGTATTGAAACGATAATTTATACAACAGTTAACATAAAATAAAATATAAAACATTTCCATAATAATTGCAACAAATGTGAAATTGTCACTTTTACTGGAAATATTTGAACTGGTCTCCACTTTGCCAACCAATCATAATTTCACAAACTATTTTGTTTTTTTTCCACTATTAACATGTGAAATGTGAATTATAATCCTAATTTCAATTAATTAGTGTTTTTTTTAAACTAAGGTCTTGGTCAATATGAAAAAGTTAGTGTCACAAGAAGGATTCGAACCCACAACCTTTCGCTCAATTCGCCACTGCTCTATTGAGCCACAAATCGTGTGTTCGAATCCCACTCATGACACTAACTTTTTCATCTTAACCAAGACCATAGATTAAAAAAAGAATAATTAATTTAAATAATTAATATAGGACTGTTAAACATATTTGGATTAATACTATAATCATAATAATTGAAATTAAATTATGAGTGCGATTATCAAGTTTTACCTGTCTACGAACAAGTGAGAACTATTTTTTTCCTTTGTCTACAAATTGTCATGTTACTGACTAGTATTTTTTATGCTAAAATTAATAAAAATATCAAAGGAAATTTGATTGTAATCATAATAATTAAAATTAAAACAATAAGATTATATTTGCCATGTTTTAACTGTCCTATGAGCAAATTTTAACTGTTCTCTTCTTTAGCAACATATTGTCATGTTACTAATTTTATGCTAAAATTCACATAAATATCAAGCGAAATGTGAATTACAGTCATAATAATTGAAAAAAGTAAGAGCTTTTTTTAAAGGTCCTGTGAACAAATTTTAACTTTCTTCTTTAGCAACAAATTATCATGTTACTAATTTTACGCTAAAATTTTTTTTAATTTTTAAGTTAAGCAAAATGAGAATTACAGTCATAATAATTGAAAAAAGTAAGCGCTTTTTTTAACTGTCCTATGAGCAAATTCAAACTGTTTTCTCCTTTGTCATGTCATTGACCGGTTGTTTTATGTTAAAATTAGCATAAATTTCAGATAAAATGTGGATTGCAATCACAATAATTTAAATTGAAACAAAAATAGTAATATTGTAATATTTTTAATGCTTAACTGCCCTATGAACAAATTCACATAGTTTCCCCTGTAATTTTACTGACCAGTTGTTTTAATTGCTAAAATTAACATAAATTGATGTCTTAAAAAATATAAATTGTAATAATTGAAATTAAATTAATAAGATTGTAATTGCCATGTTTTATCTGTTGTTTGTCAACGAATTTGAACTCTTTCCCCTGTATCAACAATTCTAAAATTATGGCCTAGTTTTACATGATAAAATCAACATAAATATAATATAAATTATTTGCAGGGGTTGATTTTAAAAAATTTTCATTAAACATTTTTATAATATTTAGATAATTACATTTTGTTTTATTAAGTAGGCCTGCAGTGATAGATCTGTAGTTTGATCATCCCCAATTGTTCCCAGACCAACAAAAGATGAATCAAAATAATCAGAATGACCGAACTACATAAATTTGTAATATTAATGAAATAAAAAATTATCATAACACTCTTAGAGAAACATTAAAATGTTATGATCTGTGTAAACACATCCCCATGACAAAGTTTTCGTTCAGAAAATATAATTTAAACAATAATTTTTTTTAAATTTCTAACTTCTTGCTGTTTCAGGGTGACTTGATTAACCACATTGAAAACCATGTTTTACAAGCTGTGGATCATGTTGAGCTTGCCCAACAGGAGACGAAAAAAGCAATAAAAATGAAGCGAAAAGCAAATAAGGCAAGTTTACACTTTACGTTGGAATTTTATGTACTAATTTTTTTATTTTTTCCCAGAAATTGATCATTATTATAATAATTCTTGCATTGATTTTACTTGCTGTGATAATTACGTTGGTGAGTTGGCCTAAGTCTGCATGACAGGGAGCAAGAATGGCCACAACTGTGAAAAAATCTTTATTGAAAGTTTCATCAGATCATAGTTTTATTGATCAAACGTGTTGTGATTATACCAGAGTGGTGCACTAGTCATTACATTTACCGTGGAGAAAAAAGTTAGCAATATAATTTAAATAATTAAATTATTTTGCTTTGTAAATTCATTAAATACGAATTTTAAACATTTGTACATACATTGTGTCACAATAAAATTTTTAATAAAAGACAGTTTCTATTGTGTGGTAAAATTTAATAAACCACATTGTAAAACATGTATTCTTTCTTCAATATAGAATTGTAGAAAAACTTTGTCACTCATTTCATTTTGTACTTTTGTGAGTATTATTATGTTCATAATTTTACCGTCATCCTGCTGACTAATTTAGATGTTCAATTTAAAATTTACATCACAGTTGATTTAAAACAGTCATCAAGCATGGTATGAAAATGTTCCACATTGAACAAAAACTGGAAATGAAATATCTGCTTTGTGATGTACAAAAGCCACAAAATAATATTCATATAAAAGACAAATTATATTATAATTCTGATCGTATTAAAATAAGACATTAGCATTTTTTTTAAAGAAACCATATATTGTAATAAATAATTAATCAAAACCTATAGAAATAATTAAAATAATTAACAAAATCATGCAGTTGATATTGTTGAAAGGGCAATAAGCAGATTTGTTTTTTATGATGAATGATTCCATTTTAAAGTTATCAGCTACCCCTAAAAGTGATTGAAGATTGTTTTCAACAAGAGTTGCTATAACTTGTTTCTTCAAATTGGATTCACCAACAATGCCATAAAGGAGACCATCACAAATAATTGGAGATCCGGCCTTTATCGAATTCCATTTGTTATGTTTTGTCACTTGAAAACAGACCATATTTTTCCTTATGTAAGTGTAGTCGCACTTCTCTTCGATGCAAGATGCAAACTTATCGACATTGGAACAGTTGATGATTTTTGCGATTTCTTGAAATAATGACTTATATTGTTGAGAATAGGAAAAGACATTGCATTTTTTTACTATTACTCTGCCGTTTTTAGAATTCCAAAATGGCACTTGATTAAAATCTTGAGGTGAGAAGTTTCCCATTGTGTACGATATGACGATGCCCAAATTGTACATGCAAAATTGGAACGTATTATCAAAACTGCACATAGGGTGTACCACAAATTTTGAAATGCCGACCTTCACCTTTGTTATGGAGCTCATAAAATCATAAGGCTGTACCTCGTACGTGGTGACATCTTCATCAATGTCGGCAAGATTTGTGCAAGCGGTCAAAACGTACTTTTTAGTAATTACGACTCCGACACCGAAACTTATCTGAACGTGATTGAGTAGGACTACATGCTTAGGAAAATCCACCTGTTCGCCACAATTCGCAAAATTTACAATCGCAAAAGCACAATAAATTGAAATTAAAACATGCAACATCCACGATTTATTGAAATTCTTCACTTGGCATTGAATAAAATGGATCTTGTAACTCTAAATAATTAAATAACCACATGATTTTTTTAAAAACTTTTAAAATGTTGATGTCACAAACCAAATATAAATTGGATCGTCAGAGTTTTGATGGATAATTTCATCTTACTACCAGTTCAGTTTCAATTATTATATTCCGAGTATTATAATTCTCGCACTTTGTGACTTCTGCATAACATATACTAGTTGAAAATATGATCACACTTTTTAAACATTATTTTCTTTAAGTAGATATAATAACACCGTTTCTATTTGTAATTTTTTATTAACATTTGGGTGATTATAATCTATAAAAAAATTTTGTATGCTAAACAAAATATCACAATTGTTTGCATATGTGAAACCAATTTTTTAAAAATAACTAGTAGTTTTTGTGAAAAATTTAATAGAGATAAAATGGCACAATTTTGTTAATTGATAAGTAAATTATGTATTAATGTTTGAACGTATGAGAGGTGTTTCTTCATTGGATTCCTTTGCTAATGGCAGGCAGACTTTCATGTTCGACTGTCTGTACACTAAGGAATTAAAAAAAGCTTGCAAAGGATTTGTCACAGCCTGAAATAACATGATAAAAAAAGTTTTAAAATTTACCAACGAAATAAATTTAAAATCTTACCATTATATACCACAAGGCTAATAACAGTGTTCTCGGCATGTCGGACCATTTTGACCAGATAATAATACCGTTGATTAAATTTGGGAACCAGCAGGCGTAAAATGAAAGATTTATGAGTGCGAATCTAAGCCTCATCGATTGTATAACAGATCTCTCCTTTCTAGTCACCTGCGAAGTAATTTTTATTAATTGAATTTACAAAATATACACTTACAAAAGTACCTTTTTATACCTGATGGAGGCAATCGGCTACGAACAAATCAACTTTTCGAGCGGACATAAAATAAAAACATGGGCTCGTTACCATAACCAGAGTTATTATTAAGTATATAGTTACATAATTGGGCAGGAGACGGAAAAACACATCACCTGAACGAGTCGCCTTTGTACTATAATTGTGACAGCTAAAATTTTAAATTTAATTAAAACAGAAAATTTTTGATAAACCCCATCAAGATAAACACATAAACCTAATAATGATTACAGATTATTAAATCTATTAGTTAATAATGAGCTTTTATTAAGGTTTTTATTTTAATTAACAGCCATGATGTTTCTGCTGATTATTTTCAAATTCACTCTTTAGAAAAAAAAAAAAAAATTGCATGCAAAAGAAATTTCTTATTTGCCAGGAAAATATATATATCTCAATTTAAGATAATAACTATTAAAAATTTCCATTGCCACCTCTTAAACTACTTAAACTAGCAAGCCCAAGATAGGATCCTTCAACAGTAAGATTTTAAAATATGTTTAATCGCTGCTTCGGCCATGATTTTATTTTGGACGTGTAACATACTTACTCAGCATCGGGGTAATAAAGAAAAGCCAGGCCGAAAGATGTCAGCGCCGCTGGAACTGTCCAAGCGATCGAGTGATAAAACTTCGGCATGCCGGCTTTTTTCTGCAATGCCAGCCATGTGTCTACAGCATAAAACAGGGTCCATGCCCATGTCACAACGTAAAAATATTCTATCCACACCTGAAATTTGAACAAGTGATGAACCACAGAAAAAAAAAAATTAAAAAAAGAATCGCTAACTTATGCTATTTACAAAAATAAACTTTTGCAATTGTTTTCCAATGAAAGAATTTCCTTTAAAATAAGAGAATTCAAATAAAACAATAAAGTATTTGTCATAAACTCATAAAAATCATAAATTATAATAACAACAACATAAACTCAGTTCATACTACTGTACTTTTGCAACATAAGCATTGAATTTCATTTAGTTTTTATTGCTTATGCTCAGAATTTTATCTATATTAAGCAAACAAGCTGTCAACTATGAAGTCTATAAACTTGTCCTATCAATTTAATTGACAGCAGTTTTATGGGGCTGTGGTAAAAATCTGAACTAGGAGAATTTTTAGGGAATTTTAAAATTCAGAACTTTTTAAATTTATGTGTAGCTTTTATATTAGTACGTATCACAAATGTGATTTTAAATTTTTTTTTAATTTTTTCACATGGTCACAGCACTAACAATAAGCAGCCCCTGCAGGACATATGCCATGAGAAACCTGCCAATGTTGGTACTCAGTATGAGGGATTAATGTGTAAGGAGGTCTTGAGACCATCATTAATTAAATGTAGAGGGTTCTTGAGACAGGAAATAGGGTTAGGATGGATCGAGAGATTGGTGTGAAACTTTTGGAATTGGGAAAAGATCAGTTCATTGTTGAAAGGAATTCACTATTTTTCGTGGTCCGCTTGACCAATTAATATCATTCAATTAATTAAGGTTTTAAGTTGAGATAAAAAAGTCAATGTCATGAGCGGGATTCGAACCCACGACCTTCGGCTTGATATGCCATTTGAAAAATGGCAAAAAGGAGGGAAAATTCAAAAGGTGGGGTTGAGATGGGAAGTTAGCTCAAGTGGTAGAGTAGCGGCATATCAACCCATAGGTCGTGGGTTCGAATCCCGCTCATGACATTGACTTTTTTATCTCAACTTAAAACCTTAATTAATTGGTTAAAAGGAATGTTAATTATTGTGGATAGTGAGGTTAGTTATGTAACAATTACTTGAACAATTTGCCTGAAGACTTTTGATTGAAACGATTGAATGAACTGGATGTTTGATGGCTTAGCAGAACCCCTGTGCCATTCTATATGTCCAAAGTGTTCACAGTAAAGACATGTATAAGGTTAGTTTTGTTTTGACAGTCAAGGCAAATTTTGGTCCAAGAAGTCTTATGTTGAGTTGTTCCAAGTGTAGGTATAGTCCAAAGTATTTGACTTGAATGGAAGTTGGTATTCCTTTATTGATATTCAGTGTAAGGTCTAACTGAACGTACAGTGAGTACATTTGCCTTCATTCAGTCACTTTTTGCACCAACCTTCAATAAACTTAAGGGGTTCTTGGTTGATGGAGGTAGCTTGGATAAGATTCGAGTTAGAGGACAAAATTGTGGTATCATCTGTTTAGGTGGTGATGATGGTATTAGGACATATAGGTAGGTTAGCAGTATTAATGACATAAAGAATGGGACAAGGAATGTTCCCTTGTGATATGCCAGCTTGTATCGGTTTGATTTCCAATCATCTGTAACAGCACCACAGTCTGAAGCAGTGGTCAGTTAGGTAGGATTTCAATATAACATGAGGACTGCGTAGGAAGTGTTTAAGTTTAAAAAGCATTCCCGGGTGCTAGAATTTTTTAATTTTTAAATTTACATATTTATAGAATTTTTAGTGATGGTATAACTTATTAAAGTGACAAAGCATTAATAAGTTTTGTTCTTGAATAAGATATAAATTTATTTATATCATTTCAATTTTTTTTACAAATTTAATTATTGAAAATATATTTAAAAATAGAATTTAATTAATTTGATTGTATTATAAATGAATGAATAATCCTTCTTGTTTAAAGAGTATAGATTTCAATTTAGTATTTATATCCTAGGAGCTTCTGCTGAATTCTTATAAAAGGCAGAACTGAAGATTCAACCATTGAAAGGCAACTTATTATTTCGGTGTTTTAAAGTGAAGTTAATTACTATTTCAAACTATATTTACTTTTACACAGAAATCATAATTGTTTACAATTCAAATCTCTTCCAGTCCAACAAAAAATGCTCAACCGTGTCAGGTCTATCACTATCAGTGTAGATAAGCGTGAGATTCTACTTTAGCTGAGAATTATTCTTGGATATTTTTTTAGATATTCTCATTTGGACACAAATGGAACATTGACATTTATGTATGAGTTATAAAAGTTAAAAATCAACATAGAATAACAACCACATATGAAAGTGCCTCTCATATTGTACAATAATTGTGAAACCATTTAAATTTTTTAATAATTAAAATAAAAGTTTTATTCATTGCTCAAGTAAGGAATTTTATCGTAAAATGTTGATGCTTCGTTTCAACCAAAGCTTAAACTCTCCTAACATTTTTAGTCTATTCAAATATAATTTGGGTAATATTTTAAAGTGCATATGCAGCGATTTAATCCATCAAGGGAAGACAAGTGAAAATGCGGAAATTCTGAGTGGATACCAGTCCCAAGTCATTATTTGTTTCAAGTATGCCCATGGGAATTAGTAGTGATATTTGACATTGATCAATTTCTTGCAAATAAGGGGGAGTCTGGTTTTCACCATAATATACGAGGTTCTTCCCATACAATCAAATTTCACTTTAGCTTCCCATGAATCTGATTTTCCTCATTGTATCACATTGGCTGCAACAGCAGCTACCTAGTTGTGCATTTTTTTATTTTCAAAATTTAAAAATCATTAGAAGGAAAAATTACACCCAAGTATTTTATAAGTATTGATAATCTCTTTACGTTTTACTTTACCTAATTTAACACCTTCATGGAAGGAAATTAATTTGGTCTTAGCCTTGCTAACAGTTAAAATTTTTCATTACAAAATGTTCCTAACAAAGGCAATTTAAATAGTATAAATTTTGAAAAATAGCCATAAATAACAATATTATTGGAAGAAAACAACATTTTTTTCTATTGTTTTATTAATCACCCAGTGTACTGTGATTTAAAAAGAATTTTATTATGTCTTGATTTAAAAACGAAAATAATAAAGGGCTCAGATTTTCCCCTTCTAAACCCTGTACTATCTGTCCTGTTCGATATGCATTGTTGCTTTTTTGTACGAATCTCCGAACCAGCTCACTTCTTACAATGCATGAGGAAGAGGGTGAAAATCTTTCTAGAAGTCAATGAAAATGCCACACCCATACTCACTATGTACGAGTCATAAAAGTTCAAAATCTCTATACCCAGCTAATTGCTCGTTTTATTGTATTATAGCAACTGATAAATAATTTTTAGTTTCGTTTTTTCCAATCATTTCCCGGTCTGCCTATCTTAGCCATTTTGGTCTGTCAGGCTCTCACCATCTTCAGTGCTGATGCTCTCCATAAACCACAAGAGGGAATTTTACAATAATATAATTAGTACAAATAATATTAGACATAATAAAAATTATATTTATATTAGTCTTTTTCTTGTTTGTTCTATTCATTTTGACAATCTCTACTGTTTTATTTTTCTTGGTTAATTTAAGAATAGGTGTCAGTTGTAAATATTTGTATCTCTTCAATGTTTTGGCAGCTTTTGAGCCATAGTTTTACAAGAAGATCTGTGCATTATTTATGTTTTAAAAAAATCACTTTCTACATGACTAGGCACAAAGGTTGCAGAAATACAAATAGTACACTTTTTATCAGCCCAATCGAACACTGCTTCAAAACTGTACACGACATTGTAGAAAAATAAAACTTAACATCTGTGCCGGGACAAATTTTTGCATGCAAAACATCCACAACGAACACAGAACCATGCATGATGATGCGTTACTTACAGCTAAAATGGCGCAAAAGGCCACTTGCGTGCTTTCTCCCCATGAGATCATCATCGGACTGTTTAGCTTCACAATTGACCTTATAAGAACCCCTAAAAATTGTACTTAAATTTACATATTAAACATTTTTTTCATGCAACTTGTTGATATTGTTTGTTTAAAATAGTTATCAAGCAAATCGATGTTCACATAGTGTATTTTATTGTCGATACCATAATTATAAGCCTGAGTATGTAGGATTTGATAATATAAAATTTATTGTTTTTTTTTATATTTACCTAAAGAAGCGTTAAAATCGGCAAATGCTAACCAAACAATTATTTGTCTTCCTCTGAGTGAAGTCATTGAGTACCATCGTCTGCTCAATAAGGCATCTCTTCTAGGCAGAAGCTACAACCAAAAAATTGTTTGTATACATAATTAATATGTCTAAATTTTATTACCTGGTATCCTGGGGAAGATGCAATTATGCCTATCCTAATTAAAAATCTTCCCAGAAAGCCATCTTATACTAAACTATTATTTTAAACCAAATGTTTATGCTTGTACACTTCCCAAACTTATGGAAAACGGCTAAAGTTATTGCTATTCCCAAACCAGGTAAAGATCGTACTAATTCGTCTAATTACCATCCAATCTCATTGCTAAATATTCTATTGAAGATAATCGGGAAAAAAATCCTAACTAGACTTTTGCAATTTTCAAACGCACACAACATTGTCCCCCCTGCCAATTTGGCTTCGGGCAAAACCATTCTACAGTTTTACAACTTGCTAGAATCACTAACATGATTTTTGACAGCTTTAATAAGAACAAACATGTTGGTATGGTCCTGAAAAAGCTTTTGACTGTGTTTGGCACAGGTGGCTACTCTATAAATTACAACTAAACAGCTTTCCTAAACATCTCATACATCTCGTAGGCAACTACTTAAAAATAGGTATTTTTATGTCAATGTCAATCAATCAAATTCAAGTATGAAACAAATTACAGCTGGCGTTCCACAAGATTCCGTCCTCGGCCCTACACTTTTCAACTTATTCATTGTGGTCATTTGTAAAATTAAAAATAAAGTTGAACTTGCACTATTCGCTGATGATACGGCATTCATAAAATCCTCTTACAGAATTGACACTACAGCTAAAGATTTGAGCGAAGCAGCAAGTAAATGTTTCAATTATTTTAATAAATGGAAAATCCGTCCAAATAAAGTTAAAACCGAAGCTATACTTTTTACCAGAAGGAGACCTGATATTAATAATTTGGTCAAAATCAATAGCAATCTCTACCCTGGGCCAAGAATGTCAAGTATCTGGGAGACTATCTCGACCAAAAACTTAATTTCACTTATCACATTACTATGAACGTTCGAAAACAACTGCTAGGGCTTGTTTCCTACTTTTAATAAAACTTCGAAGTTAAGCATTAATAATAAAAAGCTCATCTTTGATCTTCATATAAGGCCTTACATATGTTGCCCCAGTCTGATCGAACACATGTGCTACCAATTACAAATATATGCAGACCGTTCAAAACATGGTGCTAAGGATTATCGGTAACTATAAAAGATGGATGCGAATAGACTACATGCATTGTGCATTACATATTCCCAGTATAACAAACTCCATTTTTAACCAAACCTTGAGTTTGTCTCCAAATGCAAGAAGAGTTCAATAGAATACATAAAAAATATGTTAAATTATGAGCTCAGATACTTAAATTATGAGAAATATAAACATAAAAGGCTTAAGCATATACGTAAAGATAGATTAAAGATCTAACCTATTTATTGTTAAATAGTGCATCTACTTTTCTTGCAGAGGTAACTAAAATGAGTAGTTTTAAATACTTTTATTGGTCCAGGTCAAAAATTGTGCTGGAAGATCAATTTATGTTAATGATAAAAATTGTAATGTTTTTAAGTACTCTGCAAAAGTTTTTGTAAATTTTATCAGTGAGGGTTTTTTCCCTCTTTGAACTGGTGTCGCTTATATTTATACTTCTCATTACTATTATAAAAATTTTTAGGTGGTATAGGCCAAGGTTTTGACCTGAAATTTCCTTTTAATTCTAATAACACTTTTTGATTATGATCTTCCGCAACAGGGGTAAACCAGCACCCTCTGAAAAATGTTTTTATAAGGGTAACAAAATCCAAGTGGTGAACAAATATCTGGGTGTTATTTTTACTCTGCGTCTTTCCCTATCTCACCATTTTGAAGCAAGAATTTCGGCTGCAAAAACAGGTTTAAACTGTGTCTGGGTAAATCTCTTTCGCAACAAGCTTGTACCGTATGAAACCAAACTAAAAGTTTATAACAGTGTCCTGCACACAGTGGTATGTTACGGTGCTCTAGTATGGGGTTGTGGAAAAATTTCAATGTTTTTTTGTTAAAAAACTTTTCAGCTTACCATCTTTCTCCCCAAATTACATGCTAACGCTAGAATCCTATTTGCCTCCTCAATTCTCGTATACCTTTTCCCTCCACCTCAAAGATACTGAGCCTCCCAGATGATCGACTGCCTAAAATAATCGCTCTCAGATAACTAGAAAGAATATCTCCTGGTATAATCAATGGGCTTCTCTAGCCCAGAAATACTCATGCCCCTGGCAAAACTCCGGTGTTCGGGAGAATCTCTCGGACCTTTTAGTGCTTTCTTACAAAATAAACAAAGTTCATCGAGAAGAACTGCTTTTTGATTATGTACAATTTTTTTTTACTCTCTTTTGTTTATCTAATAAAGTACTTTTTCATTCATTCATCGAGAAGAAGCTGTGAATAAGGCGAAAAGCACAGAGAGGTTCTACTTGTATAAGGAATTTTTCAATGAACACCTACTGTCGTATAAACCGAGCCTTTCCCAGGACATTAATATTAGAGATTCTCATTGGCTATTCAAACTAAGAGGAGAATGTTATATTTGAAATTCAAACCCTGGGTTTTGAATGATCCTCAAGTAACTTATCCATTTTGTAACAGCCTCGCCAGGGAAGATTCATATCACTTTTTGGGAGTCTGCTCTCTTCTCTCAGAATTGCGGGTATCTTACTTGGGAAAGACAGTCATCTCCAGAGTTGAAATACTGGAATTTCCTAATTTCAGCTAATTTCCTTTGCTCGGCACGCCTGGAGAGTGAGATACGATTGGCTTTCAGATATGCAATAATTGTTGTCCGTGAACATATACTTTCACTTTTACTGCTTTGTTTTTTAGTACTCTATCAGTTCTCAAGAGGTAATTTGTTCTTATTTAATTATTTTTGTTTTCTTTTTTTCTCTCATATTTCCATCTATTTTAATTCATACTCCTGCTATATGTAAATTTTCACTTCGAATTTATTTTGTTTTAATATTTCTGTATTTGTAAGCTTTATTATGCAGAAAAACTCAGCAGACGCTATTAGTCATGCTGTTCTCAAGAGGTAATTTGTTCTTATTTAATTATTTTTGTTTTCTTCTTTTTTCTCATATTTCCATCTATTTTAATTCATACTCCTGCTATATGTAAATTTTCACTTCGAATTTATTTTGTTTTAATATTTCTGTATTTGTAAGCTTTATTATGCAGAAAAACTCAGCAGACGCTACTAGTCATGCTTATAATACTTTGTATCAGTGTTTCTATTTTTTGTTTGTATCAATTCTAATAAAGTATTGTATAATAATAAATAATAACACTTTTTGTTAAAAATTTTATTTTATGTTGCAAATAAAGGCACTTATAATAATAGTTATTATTATTATTATTACCTGGTAGATGGCCCCGATGCACCCTATAATGCTAGATACGAGGCAGACTGTGTTGTAACTCCTGGAATTTAACTCTAGCATCACCGCCAGCGACGGGCTCGGGACGCCGGCCTTATAGCAGCAAAACGTTTGGATGGACGGGTCGAACATGGTGTCCTTATAGCATGGGGAGTACGACTGCCTCGGCTTTCGTCTGGGAAAGAACGCCTATAATCTCCCAATCCACTTGAACCGATTACATAACCAAATAATAGAGAGGCTTGGGCCTCCCTCGTCCTCACTCTATAGTACTCTACCGGATAGTAAACAGTGTATGTCAACATATGATCATTATTTGCAACAGTCGAGGTACATGCATATTGCATAACATACAACTGTTGGGTCAGACTGGGTAATCCTAAACAAGCTAAGCTTTACATGCAACAACATGGGATTCCGATAACGGCAAAATTTTCGGGCCCTGCATGCGTTCCTCTGCGCTTTATTAAAAGGTGTGTAAATCCGTTTACTATTGTAAATTTATGGTTCTATCAAACATAAAACCCTTGACTTTTTCTTCCTTTGATGTTTAAAAGTGCTCTGCTATAACTTTGGCGATTGTTCCGTTCAATTGGACGAAAAAACCAATGACCTTTCTTTGTTTCGTTTTGTATTGGTGTTTAATATGCTTTAATTGTGTTTTATGGGATATTTTGTGTACTTGATGATAAGAATATTGACTGATTTACAAGTATACAAAACAACAACTGTCAGAATCTTTTGCCATTTTTTAAATATGTGTGGTCCAATTTCGTACTGTGGTGGTACCTTCCATGTACCTTTACATTATATTTGGGCGAATGTAAGATTCCTGAGGAGCTGTGTGACCCTCGCGACTTGTCCTTGCAAAAACGCAAGAAGAATTTGTCAGTCATGGAGCAAAGAAGTTAGAAACATCAACGATAATCTTCTATCTTGAAAATTTGATCATTATTGTCCACGAAGAAACGTCTACTGAAGATATGAACCAGAAACAGGCATAGTTTTGGATCAAACAAGGGGATGACCAGGTTGGTGGGTCACGGATTTGAACCGAAATTTTTTTTGGTGATTCTACACTTCAAAATATTGGACATGAATATTCCACTTCTTGTAAATAGGCCCTAGTTTGAACCAAAAAAAAAAGTTGAAATGTTCTGTTTTTTAATATTTTTATTTCGCCTTTTTACTTGCTCAAATCAACTCTATGAATATATCATTAAGCAGAATTATTTTATGTAGATTGCAATAAAAATATAGCAAAAGTTATCAAAGTTTATCAAAAAATTCTAAAAACCAAATATTTTTCAAGTAATCTCGGTCACAATTTTTTTTGCAAATGCAATCTAAATAAAAATTGCTGCAAAATTGTATATTCACATAGATGATTTGAGGAGGTAGAAAGGCAAAAATAAGTATATTAAAAAACGAAAATTTCAACTTAAAAAAGGAATTGTTAGCGAAACCAACAAATTTCATCTACTGAAAGATCTTTTACAGGTCAAACACTAAAATTCCCAACATTATCAGAAAATGGAAGATGGACAAGATAAAAAAATCATAAGATTAACAACAGTAATCAGAATATAAAGTATAAAACTCAAGACATTTTTTTTAAATTATGATGAATATGAAGATTAGGAAAACACTGCGAACATTTAAAAGAATCAATCAATCTGTATTTCCTAAATGACAAATTTGCGCCCTTAAATGAATCAATTATCTTGATAGCGAGTCCATTTAATCAAAATTTCCAGAAAATAATTTTTATACAAATAGTAAAAAATAATATTTTTCTACTTTATCTGTGTACTTTTTTTCTGAATTATTTATATCATGGAAGTTACGTAAATAAATAAATTTTAAAATAGAATAGATAACGGGTCTGATAGGAAGACGCATTCGAATTTAATAAAATCAAATTGTTCGATTTATCGTTCGATTTTTTCTTTGTCGTTTAGATGCACAGAGGAATATTTATTTATTTACAATGTACGATGTAATAAAAATTTGTTTTAGAGTTTCTTTTGATCAACGGACCTCTCGAGAGTAATGACAGCGATAAACAAGCTAACAATTACGTTTCTCTTACTTTACGTACTATTTATTTATTATTCAAGTAGCAGAACAGTCAGTATTATCCTTTTCTTTATTGAAATTTCTCCCATTTTTGAAGTAACTATGTGGTCGTCTTATACTCGAAGTCATATTGTGGTCGTTTTAATCCTGAACTAAATTAGTGACTGTCTTATTTCTAAAGGTACTTGTCGATAACATATTTCTGAAGTAACTTTGTGGTCGTCTCATTGTTTAAGGAAATTTGAGTCGCTAATTCCAGTAGTAATTTTGAGTTCATCTTATTTTTTAAGTAAGTTTGTCGTCGTTTTATTGATTACGTAACCTTTTAGTGGCTTATTCCTGGAGTAATTTTGTGGTCGTCTTATTCTTGAAGTAACTTTGTGGTCATTGTATTGTTTAAGTAACTTTTAGCTGCTTATTCCTGGAAAAATTTTGTGATCGTCTTATTTCAGAAGTAACTTTGTGGTCGTCTTATTGTTGAAGTAACTTTTAGTCCCGTATTCCTTAAGTAATTTTGTGGTCGTCTTATTCCTGAAGTAACTTTGTGGTCGTTTTATTGTTGAAGTAACTTTTAGTCTCGTATTCCTTAAGTAATTTTGTGGTCGTCTTATTCCTGAAGTAACTTTGTGGTCGTTTTATTGTTGAAGTAACTTTTAGTCTCGTATTCCTTAAGTAATTTTGTGGTCGTCTTATTCCTGAAGTAANGATTATGCCTGAGGTAACTTTTTGTCGCTTATGCCTGAGGTAACATTTAGTCGTTTATACCTGAGGTAAATTTTTGTCGCTAATACCAGAGGTAACTTTTTGTCGCCTATGCCTGTTAACTTTTTGTAGCTTATGCCGGAGATAACTTTTTGTCGCTTATACTAGAGGTTACTTTTGTCGCTTATGTCTTAGATTCATTTGTGATTGTCTTAATTCCTGAAGTACGTTTGTGGTCGTCTTTTTACTAATATAACTATGTGGTCGTTTTATTAATAAAACAACCCGTATAAAATCGAAAACAATTGTTACCATGTTCATCGTTTTTAACAACCTCTGAAGGTATTTGTTATTCAGCCAAATCTCCAATACAATTATTGTAATACACATTGAAAATAAATATCTAAAATATTCTTAATTTTTTAGTACCAGAGTTTCCGCGTTAAAATTATCTTGACTAATGTTTTGTATTTCATTTCTAACTGGAGGAAAAAATATTCATAATTTCAACATTAAATTTTCGTCTGTTTGTCGTATTGTAACTGCAGAGCTTTTATTTCAAGCTTGGTAATAGAAAATTACTCCAAACGTTATTGTGTAACTGTGATGAAAAAAGCTGAATATGGCGGATTTTAAATATCTCTGGACAAAGTAGTGTATCAAATATTGATTATTAAAATGTTTACACAACATAATTGGTAGTTTCTAGCTCTTCTTAAAAATCTGTATAATTTTAAACATTCTTTGGATTTTTTACAATTTCAGAGTTGAAATAGGATTTCTTGGGAGAATTGATAGGGTGCATGAACGAATCATTTCACTCGTCAAAATTCCTTTCCATAAGATCCAGATAAGAAGCGACTGTATAATTTTATTTTTTATTAGGGGAAATCAATTTCAAAGAACCCAGGTACATGTAATTATTCTAGTATTCGGAGGGAAGCAAGCGTGAGGTCATTTAACTCCAGTCTGTAAATATTCATTGGCCCGGCGGTCGTCTGTGGGAAGGAGGAGCTACCCCACAGTCATCAGTTTGAAGTTTCATCGAAAGATTTTTTTTTCTTTTCTTTTTCTTCTGCCGGGTCAGAGTGAGATAGGATTTGTAAGCTTCGCGGACCGAGGACAGAGACTTGCGCCCTCGTTTATCCCCCTCCCCGATCCTCGATATGCACTCGTGAGCATGGCAGCTGCTCCGTCCTGTCTCGCTCGTCCGACCGTCCACAGTCGCTCTCTCCGCACTCAGACCGTTCACAGGAGCCCGAATCTAATCCGTTAGGTCGTGCTGATTTTTTTTATTTTATTTTTTTTTTTAAATTTATACGGTTTTTCCTCTAAGACTTCTTTCATCTACCACGAAGTTGAGGGCCTTCGGAAAATGGACAAAGCTCCAAGGCAAAGCTGATCGAGGGAAAAGTGTGGCAACGTTTCTCGACTCATGTCAAAGGTATTGGGATTTATATTTAAATTTATCTACGTACAAAGCAGCAAACTAAGTTTTTAAAGAACTTATAAAGACACTTCTTACGCTTAAATCATAAAAAAAATCAGGCAATAATTTTTCCATAAGAAAATTAAATAATAAATAATGCTTCTTAATAATGAAATGTATTTATAATCTTAAGTGTAGGAGTATTATCTTATGTTGATTTTCTACTTTAAAAGTATTCGCGGTAGTCAGACCACATATGAGCATTGCATGTTTTTTTAATGTTGAAACCGGTTAGTCGAGTTTTCTTTCCAAAGAGCTGACACTGAGAATATTTTTTTATATTAAAAAAGTCCCTACTGGTCTTTTTTTTTAATTTATTCTTATTAAGTGCAGTAAATCCCTACGGATTAAGTACAGTTGACTTTTATAATGAATTTTTTTTGGCATGATTTCAAATACAAAACGCTTTGAAAAGTTCGGCATGTCGAGAAAAAATGTATGTTAGAAGTTCTTGAGAAGGATCCAGTCAAAAGTTGCATCACGCTTTCGACCTATTCCTTTCTTTTTCCCACATATTTTAATTGTTACGTCGATCGTTTATCCGGTTTTGTGTGATCCTTTTTATTTAAGAGTAGGAAAAACGCGATGATTTCATCTCTTTTTCTTTTAGGAAAACGGGAACAAAAAACTGATAAAAACGTCCGAAATAATCGGATCTCACATTTATAGTAACTGTACTTTGTATGTGGGTCAGATTAAGCCCGAGCGATCCGACCTCCCTACTTCCTTGATTTATTTCTCAGAAATGTCGTTTTTTTTTCTCCTTTCGACGCCTTTTATCTTTCTCATCAGGGAAACTGGTATTACACTATTACGAGTCTTAATTTGAATACAGAAACGAACAAGAATTTGTTGACATTGGGGCCCAAGATTGTACAAATAAATTTCAAGAAGTAGAGGAAAAGAAACTGTGGTGCAAGACAAGACAAACACTCAAAAGTTATATTCAAATTTTCAACCAGACAATAGTGTAAATTGTATTTTTTAAAAATTGACTATGGCTGTAGTATGTAAAAGAATGCAAAATGGAGAATCGGGTCGCATGGAGTTCATGAAGAAATTTGGCGGTAAAACAGACCGAAGAATAAAAAAACATCAAAATTATTGATAAAATACTACATTTTTCATTTTATCTATTAAATACGTATTCGGTTTATAGCTGTTATATTACAGCGATTGTCCTGAAGTTTCACAACGGAGTTGGCCTGCATCCCGTTAACTTTCTAAGAAGTGCTTTATCGTCAGACACTATTCAAATTGCATCCATTCCTATTATGTCGGTTGACTTGAAAAACAGATTAACGGGTTGTAAATACGAGATGTACGGCGAAATGTTACAATATAAAAAGAAAATAAGCAGATGACATGAATTTGCATATTTTGTGTCGTTTTAAAGAATGTGCATATTTTGTGTACAGAGCGGATTAAGATTATCTCAAGAGATTGTCCTATGGGGCAAATTAGAAGTTGTGAGATTTCCTCTTGAGGTCTACGCGGTGATGTATCTGTAGTTTGGTCGCTACCGATCATTTTGATCTGCCTAATTATCGCAGTTTTGGCCTATCAACGTTTCGGCTTCTCGACATAAACTATGCCTCTCCCTATTTATATCCCTGACTTGAAAACCCTCCTCTGAAAATCGCAAGACGCTGAAGCTTGTTTGTAGACAAACCAAATCAGAAGTTGTGACATTTACTCTTGTGCTGTGCGGGATGATGAACCTGCTGTTTGATCGCTATCTTTCATTTTGATCTGCCTAATTCTCGCTCTTTTGACCTGTCAGCGTTTCTGTTTCTCGCTATAAACTATGCCTCTCCCTATTTATATCCCTGACGTGAAGACCCTCCTCTGAAAATAGCAAGGAGATGAAGCTGGTTTGTCCACAAACTAAATTAAAAGTGTTAGACTATCTCTTGAAGACTGCTGGATGATGAACCTGCAGCTTGGTCGTTATCGATCATTTTGATCTGCCTAATTCTAGCTGTTTTGACCATCAGCGTTTCGCCTTCTCGCCATAAAACTATGCCTCTCCCTATTTATATCCCTGACCATCTTCTGAAAATGGCAAGAAGCTGAAGCTTGTTTTTCGACAAACTAAATCAAAAGTTGTGAAATTTCCTCTTGAGGTTTACGCGGTGATATACTTGTAGTTTGGTCGCTACCGATCATTTTGTTCTGCCTAATTCTCGCCCTTTTGACCTCTCAGGAGTTTCGGCTTCTCACCATAAACTATGCATCTCCCTATTTATTTCCCTGACCAAAATATCCTTCTCTGAAAATGGCAAGAAGCTGAAGCTTGTTTGTCGACAAACTAAATCAGAAGTTGTGAAATTTCCTCCTGAAGACGGACCTTGCGGGACGATGAACCTGTAGTTTGGTCGCTACCGATCATATTGATCTGCCTCTCCCTATTTATATCCCTGACTTGAAGTCCCAACACTGAATATGGTAAGAACCTAAACCAGGTCTGCAGGGTGCTGAATCTAAAGTTTGATCCGTTACATATCATCCTGGTTCGCCTATCTTCGCCGGTTTTCTGACTAAAGGTGGCAAAACAAAGACAACTATAAATCAGAAGTGTTAGCTACTTTGAAATGGACATCGCTCTTGTCTGCCATTAGTGGAAGACGTCTATTTCCTAAAGTAAGACAAGGGGGATATGCTATTTGACAAATAGTTCGTGCCTCATGGTCGGGTGCTCTACCCGCACCAAAAATCTTTCACGAACACCGGGAATCTTTTCCTTCCTTTGTTTCACACCCGGTTACATAATAGGAGGTTGTTCACTTTTATTCTTTTCCGTCTGGTTCCCATGGCTGTCGAGTAACGCTGGCAATTGTTTTATTTCGATTTGAGGAAGCCCACGGGACATTGTAACAGTTTTATTTCTATGTTTAGGTTTTTAGATGATTTACCGTTGTCTTGTATGGCATTTTTGCCCGGTGGACAGCACTGAGCATTCTCTTGTCTTTTAATTATTTTTTATTTTTTTAAATACTACCATATGAGAAAAAATAAATAACAATCTGAAACACATCTGAACACCAGGTTGTTTGTTATACCGTCGACTCGATCGTTTTTATTGTTGTTAAGTAAGTACAATAATTTTCTCAGTTTACTGAACATTTTATTCTGCCTTTTTTCTTTTTTTGCGATTCAAGAGCAAACAATATTATTTTCCAATTAAATTCCATTTTTAAACAATTAAAATTTATATCTCCATGTAATGGTGGTTTTTATTGAACTTCACAATATCTCTTCGTATTACTTTTTATTGCCTTTATGTATTTTATGACAACTGCCAGTACAAGGCTTCAAGGCTCTGAAATAACTGTAGGTAATAAAAAGCAAAAGAAGTTCAATAAAACCCAAATCATGTGATGAATTTTAACAACCAAATCAAAATTAGGAGTAGTTTCATCTAAAAATTATATCTATTCATTTTACAAGCAAAACCTTTAAACATTTTAAATACCACATATTTGTTCAAATTTTAGTTCCATTTTGGTTATCACTAATTTAAATATTGTTTTCATTTTTATTGCTTGCTTGTACCATCACGTTTCTTGGACTATCGAGCTACATGTTAGAAAGGTCCACAAGATCTAACTTTGTGTGATTAAATAAAGCGATCAAACATATCTGCATCCTTGGGGCAAAATTAAATAAGTCAAACAGTTTTTTTGAAAAGGCATCTGATTTATGAATCCAATAGTAGAATTATAAAATTTAAAAAAATATGTTGGTTCATTGTTCTAATTTATTGACAAGTGAAATGCTTTTCTCTTTGTTAAACTTTTATTCCTCATAGACCCATTATAGGAGTCCACTGAACTGGCTTTTCATTGAACTATAAATCAATTTTTTTGGCTGCAAAACCAGAATCTTATGAACCATCATGAGCCATATTACTGCCAATCAACGCAGTAATCACCATAGATTTTTTTTTTTCAAAATCGTAATGTTGAGGATTTGTGGCACCTAGGGTTACCTAGCCAAAGCTAGGACGGTTTGCCGGCAAGATTTTTTAAAAATATTTTTAAGATGTTTTTCAGTATCTCAGACGAATTTCATTGCTTGAAGCCTTTTTCTTCAAATCTTTACTTTGAACACCAAACCTTGATGGGCTCCAGTTCCCCACAATAAAAGTTCAAGATATTTTGGCCATTTTAAAGAAAATGTGGTACAAGACGATAAACGTTTACGTGGTCAATGATGTGGCCAAAGAACGTAAAGAAAGAACAAAAAAGAAAAACAGATGACCATAGAACGGAAGAGAGAATTTTCAAAATTGTGATTTTCAGTTTTTCAACTTGCAGTTTTGCAGTGGCTAAAAAGGCACATTGCATTTAAAAGAAAATAGTTTCAACAAAATCAATTTTACAGTCTACCAAGCTTTACTAGAATATGGAATATACTTATCTGATTTGATCAGGCATAGGGTCACTTATTGGTCCATCTTCACTCGTGGGTTTGTTGAATTACTCAAATGCATTTCAGCAACCAATGCTCATCATCAACTCATATCTTTTGGCCAAATTAACTTATCCACTTTTGCCCCGGGTGTACAGATATACAGTGTTGTATTAAGTTCAAACATTGGCATCTGAAAAAAATGTCTTAAATTTTTTCTCCTCATTGATTTTAAATGAAAGTGTATGGTGAGGTTTGACCATCTATGATCATCCTGGTCAATTCTCAAACCAACTAAACTGCAGGTTCATCAGCTAGCAAGATCTCACAATTTAAAAATTTAACACTGGCAAAGTCAAAGTTTTGAACATAATTATTTGCTGAGAAAAATATTTTTACATTCTTAACGTACGTAGTGTTAATATAGAAAACTGTTTTGCAGATTCATAGAGAAAATTAAGATGAAGGGTATTTGAAAAACAAGAATTCCGTGGTGATGGCTTTTTATTGATTGTATGTTTCAGGCTATTGGCCTTTCATCGGTAGTCCAAATGGGCAAATTCCTGTTAAGTACCCCACAAAACCAACGACATTCCTTCCACTCTCCAGTCGAAAGATGCCTTCACTTAATGAAATTTATTGGAAGGAATGTTGTTGGTTTTGTACAAAAAATAAAAAAACACATGACCGCGGATTTCTTGGTTTTTCAAATACTCTCTACATTGTAAACCGTGGATAACAAGATAAAAATAATTACATAATTCCACGAATTCCATGTGAAGTTATTTACAATTATAGTTATACAGGATGTCTTTATGTCCAACTATCCATTGGGCTGTACAACAATATAATTGTTAATTGTTCATAATTATCATTGTAAAAAGAATATTTTCTAGCTTGGTAATGGGTGAGATACTGGAAAATAAGAACAAGGTGGACAGAGATTTGAAAAACTACTGTCCGCAATGCATATCCAACGGAAGGTTGATTTGCCAAAAATGCAGAGAATTCTCAAAGAGGGAGTGCATGGTTGAAGAATGCTTCCTCAACAGAGTGTGTTTAATCAAACAGATGGTTGTGGCATTATTTCTGACCGTTTTCTTTGGCACTATTTATTACACCTTTTGGCTGGCGAAAAAGAAAGAACCTGAGATGGCTTGGTTTGAAAAGATTTACCACTATTTTTATACATCTTTTAGCGAAATATACGGTTAAATTATGAAGTTTTGTTATTTATTTGTGTTTATTTTTTATGACGACACGGAAAAAAATTATATGGAATTACTGAATTTATTACAGTATGAATAAGCTTACTTTATTTATAAAACTATTTACAATTCAAATAAACCCCAATAGGCGTGCGAATGGCCTTTCCCGAAATGTTTCTTCTTTTAAATGCTTGCCCTTTTTTCTAATAAATTTACCTTGAAAAAAACTGTCTTTTATTTTCTGTTGCTTCTAGTTTTTAAAAAAATCTGCTTGTGTGCAAATTTTTGGTGATGTTTATTTATTGTACAGGCAAGAGTGTACTCAACAAAAAGAAATAATACATTTAAATTACATTATACATGTGAGCACATTATAAAAAAAAAAAAGAAAATCTTTAGAAAATTGTATAAATTGTTCTTTGAGGGTTGATAGACACAAGGAAAAAAAGATTGGCACCAGACATTTGCCTTCCTTAAATTATGAAGATGTAAAATTTACCATATTTAAATGTGTGCAGGTTTAGTTAGTGATGAGAGGAAAGGAATGGATTCTTGTGGAACGAGGTCGCCCTCTGAACACGGTGACTTTTGAGAGTCCATCGCACAACGCAACCATTCTCTCTGGTTTGAATGTGCTCAGATCTAAAGGTCATTTATTAGACATAACATTAATTGCACAAGGGGAAACATTTCAGGTAATAAATTAGCAATAAATAATATTAAATGTTTACTTAATTTGTACTTTTGTAGGCGCACAAAGTTGTATTAGCATCATGTAGCGATTACTTTCGAGCTATGTTTACCGATGCAATGAAGGAATCGAGGCAGTCTGAGATATGCCTTAATGGTGTCTCAGCGGCAGGAATGAGGCTGCTTTTAGAGTACGCTTATACTTCAAGGCTAGCTCTCAATCTCGCCAACGTCCAAGATGTCCTTTCTGCTGCTTCTCATATACAGCTCGTTGCTGTCGTGGAAGCGTGTTCAAACTATCTACAAGTATGAAATTTGAATATATTTTGTTAGCGAATAACAATTTAGTTTTGCTGTTTTAGTCACAGCTTGATCTTGACAATTGTGTTGATATCGCTACCATATCCGAGACATATTCCCTGAAACAGCTGCGAACGGTAGTGTACAGATACATGTCCTGTCATTTAGTCGAATTCGCAAGAAGTTCAGAATTTACACGCTTACATCCTCAGCAACTGGAATACCTCCTGTCATGCGATTTCCCTGTCGACTGCCCTGAAGTTGAAGTGCTCGAAATAACACTAAGATGGCTGCAGTGTTATCCTTTAGATTCCCACAGGTAATTTTTTTTTTTTCATTAAACTCTAGTTTAAGATTTTTTAAAAATATTATTGTATAATTTCAGCAAAAGTATGTGGATAACACGATTAGTGCACAAAATTCATATAAGTGAGGTGAGCTGGTGGGAGCTGGATACTCTTTTGGAAGCGAGAGAGCATTATTTAGCCAAGTTGGTTTACGAGGCCATTCGGCAGAACAGACACCACAGAAATTCTTCCAACTCATCTACTGCACTATTATCTCCATCGTCACCATTAGTTAATTCTAGAGGGATGACTCTTGCAATAATCAAGGTGTGTGCATTGTAAACTTGTGAGGGATTATTTGTTTGTTTTATTTATAATGGAATTGGTTTGAAGGTCGGTGGATTCGGAATGGGAGGAATTACAAATGAAATTACATACATGCAACCAAGTTCAAGAAAGTGGAGGCATCTCACATCGATTCCTCACGTTGAACAATGCAACTTCGGAACTGCCGTTTTGAACAATGATCTCTATGTCGTAGGAGGATGCTTCAACCAGTCGCTGCAGGTAAAGCTTAAACATATTAAAAAAAAATTCCGGAAATATATTAACTTTGGACTCTTTAGGAAAATATTCACCCTTTCGGGTTTCGTTATTCCCCGCGGAGAGACTCCTGGGCCACAATGGCCCCAATGCAGAGAGAAAGATGTAGATTTTCGCTTAACGTGCTTTCTGGCTATTTGTTCGCAGTCGGAGGTGTGAGCGAGGGAGATGGAATAGTATCAGAATGTGAAAGGTTGAGACACGCTTTTGGCATAATGGAAAAAAAAATGTATTGGTTTTTTGTTTCAAATGGCAGGTATGATCCGAGCACAGATATATGGGAACGGGTTGCACCTTTGCCTGGACCAAGCACGCAACACGCAGCTGCAACTTTAGACAACTACTTGTACATCTCTGGTGGCCTTGACAGGGATATTACTTTAAGTAGTATGAAAAGGTAATGGTATTTTTTTAAGAGAAAAAGTAACAGAAAAATCCTTTGCTTGTCTCCCTTGTGTAATTTGACATTGCAAAATGAAAATGATATTGAGGCATAATATGGAAAAGTTCAAGATCAATGGAAAATTTGAAACATATGTGTTTAGCTTGGTGATTTGAATAATATTCTACACCAAATTGACAGACAGTGGAGGTAGCTTGTAAAATTCTATGTTGGCGAAGCTCGTAAAATATAAGACAACCATAGTGATCAATGAAGCTCTACAAGGACAATAATCAGTAAAGACAAGATTTCCCAAGCAGTTGCATCTTTTTATTGCTAATTCCGATTACAATGAAACCAAAAAATTTCTATTCATGGAAAGGGCATTTTTTTACACTACCGTGCACTGTTTGTTTTTACAATTATTGCACGAAATTTTACGTTTTTATAATTTACTGAACAAAATGGCATTTTTTCCTCAATTTTTTTAAGTTTATTATTTTTTTGTGAAAACAACGTGAAAGTAAAACATTCTTATGTCTTATGGGTCAACAGTATCGAATATGAATTGAAGGTAAAAATTTTTTTCTAATGTGCTTCTGATGCCTAGAATTTTCTAAAAAATTCTTTCATGTTCAAAATCCGCTCTCCTCCATGAGTTGCATATTTCTCCAGTGGACTCAAACTACAAATGAGCTTTTTTTCAAAGGGTTCGGAAAAAAAATTGATTGATTATAAAATAAATAATTACATTATAAACAAACGTGTTGTGATTAGTGACCATTAGTCGATGATTATTCGGAAATCGTGAGACTAGGTTTAGAAAAACTTTCCTTTATCGTGCCAATGTCTCAATCTTTATTGGGATCATCTTTAGGGCCTGGGATTTACAAACATTGTTTAAATTGAAAGTGAATTTATGCAATGCAAAAAATATTTTTATATTCAACCAAAGTATTTCTACTCACTCAAAGTGGTTGTTTTCTGCGTAGTGAGTAGAAATACTTTGATTTAATTTAAGAAATATTTTTTGCATTGTATAAATTCACTATTTTCCACATCCTACATGTATATATTGTAAATCCCAGGCCCTGAAGATGATCTCAATAAAGATCGAAACGTTGGCACGATAAAGAAAATGTTTTCTGAAACCTACGTCACACCAGACCGCATCTCACGATTTCCGAATAATCATTATAAACAAAGTTTAAGACAATAATTAATTTTATTAGGTAAAAACATTTTTAATATGCTAAATGGGAGTTGTATCTTTATTTATTACACCCAATGTTTTGACATTTTTATTGCACGTTTTTTCCCGTTTTAAGGTTTTGTTTAAGTTCACTAATTTCGTGGTCCGCTTGACCAATTACATCATTACAATTAATTAAGGTTTTTAGTTGAGATGAAAAAAAGTTAATGGCACGAGAGGGATTCGAACCCACGACCTTCGGCTAGATACGCCGCTGCTCTACAACCGAACCAACGTGACCTCGATCCACTCGGACATCAACTTCCCATCTCAACCCCACCTTATGAGTTTTCCCTCCTTTTGCCATTTTTCAAATGTCATGTAATCGGTTTGGATTCTCGACGACAATTGAAATGGTGACGGAGAACTTTAGTGAAGTGTACTTCATTTTAATTCATTAAATTCACTAATTTCGTGGTCCGCTTGACCAATTAATACATGAGAATTAATTAAGGTTTTTTGTTTGAAAAATGACAAAAGGAGGGAAAACTCATAAGGTGGGGAAGAGATGGGGAGTTGATGTCTGAGTGGATCGAGGTCACGATAGCTCAGGTGGTAGAGCAGCGGCGTATCTAGCCGAAGGTCGTGGGTTCGAATCCCTCTCATGCCATTAACTTTTTTCATCTCAACTAAAAACCTTAATTAATTGTTTTGTTTAAGGTTAACATACATGTTTTCAAGGTTTTTACTGCATGAAAATCTGGTCTTTACTGATCAGTGTTCACTAAATGTCAATCAAACATGGATTGAAACAATGAAGTCAATCACCTCTTGAGTTCGTATTGTCACACAAGGACATGCTGATTTTTGAAATGTAAAAGATTTCCCTGTAACTATTTGGATTTGCAATGGTTTGCCTGGAGAATAAGAAGAAATCTTAGTTTCGAGATTCTTCCCAATGTCCTGATGCACTTTTAAACGACAACCACTTTCGAGAAATTAAATGCCCTCTTTCTTACTAGAAAAACATATCAAGGATTGACATGTATGACTTGTTTCAATCAAAAGATGACATGGCACTGCATGAGATTGAGCAGCTCTAGATGGTAATTGGTGGTCAGTAATAATAAAATTCAGTCATTTTTTTTTTCTGTCACTATCATAAATGTACATCACACTACTTTATAAACTTAATTATTTATTTATTTTGTAAATATAGGTATGACAGTGAACAAGACAGATGGGAGATTCTCACCCCACTTCCCACCCCACGTGCAGATCATACCATGCTAAGTCTCCAAGGAAGGCTTTATGTTTGCGGTGGATGGCTTGAAGACGAGCTGACTGCAAATAGAGTATGTTTTAACTGATCTAAAAAAAAAGTTTTGGTTGTAAAATATTTTTGTTTTAGGTTTTAGTGGATTCCATAGACTGTTATGATCCTGCTGAAGGTAGGTGGACGACAGTAGCAACAGTTCCAACACCAAGGTATCATGCAGGTATCGTCGCGTACAACAACAAAATTTACTTTATCGGAGGTTACCGTAGTGACGCTATGTTCGATACTGCTACTGGTCAGTTATTCGTTTTCTCGTTATAATAAATAATTTAACTTTTAACATAATTAAATGCTAAATTGTACTTTCAGCTGTGATCGAATGTTACGACTTGACAAGCGGCGCTTGGACATCTGAAGAAAAATACCCCCAGGACATTTGGGAGCACACATGTGTCACTCTTTACATACCGACTTGTAGGGATGACATGGAGGTTTTGACTGCAACAAAACTTTAAAGTGCTTGCAATTGCTATATATTTCACCGTAACATTTTTAACTGTATTGATATAATTTTATTTATAGACATAAAAAAAATCAAAATGTTTGCCATATTTTTTCCTTTAATTATGTGATATTTAAACAAATGTGTCTTATATATATTTAATGTATTAATTTTTATTGAATAAGGGGCAAATTATTTTTTAATAAAATTATTGAAAGTTTATATAAATACTGTCCGTTAAAAAAAAAATCTTAGTTACAATAATTTTGTAGCTATACTTTTTCAGTACCTGTCTGTGGATTTAAATAACTACAAATTTTAAATTAAAAGATATTTAAATTAACTTCACTGTATCTAGAATAAGTATTTATTTTGCATTGATTTTTGTAATATATTTTATTTATTATAAGTAGTTTAAAGTTTGTCGATTTGGCTTATATGTGATATTTATTACTTTTATATAGTCATAACGATGAAGATGTGATATTCTTTGAAGGGAGGAAATTAGAAGACATTAAACTAAATGTACCTTTGATTGGCTATAAGAATTGTGTATATTTAATATTTGTTACATATGTTGTTAATATTATCATAAATATTTTATTTATATGTAATTTAAAAGGGCTTTCAAGGCCCTCTTCTATTTATTATTACACATTAATTAATGTTATTTCTTAGCAATAGGGATTTTGTAAAGAATATTCAGTGGTATAATGATTTGGGTTTTAATACTTTAACTATATTGCAATGTTCAAATTAATCGATAAATTTATATCAAACGTCTCCACACAACCAATTGTGAATTTTTAAGACATGTTTTTGGATTGAAGTATAAAGCATAAATAGAAATAGTATTTAGATTTAAGTGGTGCAGTAAGACTGCTTACAATTCCATTGCTCAAATAAAACATAACAATATTTCAGATAGTTTAAAATGAATTCAAAGAATTAAAATATTCCTATACAGTTCTCATGTAATCTATTGCTTTGTTTGCTAAGTGATTAAACATTTACGTTTTATATTTAAACCGTTACTCACATCCGGATAAGTGATTAATTAAATACAAAGTCAATACTGCGATTAAATAATTGTGATAGCGACAAACCTCAAGCTCAAAACAAATTTGATTTAAATGAGGCACAAAAACAAAGGGGGAAAACTAACGATGTGACTACCAAGTTGAGACGGGATTAGCAAAAATCCAATTGTGTACATCTGTCAGTTCTGTGTATAAAACATGTGCTCAACATTTGTGAATATTTGGATTGGCCCTTCCAAAACGTGGCCACTTGTATAATGATAATGACAAATAAAGCTGATACTATATATATTTATAAATGTGTACATTTCAAATGACCATTTAAATTTATTCAAGTTTAAACACTTATTTGTAGTTCAAATGACACAGTCGTCTAAAATCAAGTGGACATTCAAACAACTATTAATCCATTTACGTTTTTGTAGTCAATTGACCAAGTTACTTCTTTCAATCAATTAATTATTCTTTCTAAGGTACTGATTGAGATAAAAACGTCAGTGTCATGAGCGGGATTCGAACCCACGACCTTTGGCTAAATACGCCGCTACTCTACGACTTGAGCTATCGTGACTTCGATCCTCTCGGACACCAACTCTCCATCTCAACCTACAACCATTCGAATTAATCTATTGATTAATATTTAAAAAGTAACAGAAGTATCACTTCACAAAACAGCTCCCTGTGGCCACTTCATAAATGACGATTCACTGAGAATCCAATTCGATTATACAACATTTGAAAATGGCAAAAAGAGGGAAATTTTGAACAGCTGTAGGTTGAGATGGAGAGTTGGTGTTGTCTAATAGCCGAAGGTCATGGGTTCGAATCCTGCCCGTGACACTGACTTTTTTATCTCAACCAAGACCTTCGAAAGAATAATTAATTGATTGAAAGATTTAAACAACTGTTGATTTTTTTTTTTCTTTGTGGTCATTCTTGCCACACTGTAGTTGTACACAATGGGTGTGTATGTGATTTGCGAGGTGATTTGATAGTCTCTGCTTACCTGGTCTGCACCGACTCCCTCAGGACGTTTGCTGTGTCCTTGACAGGTTCTCCGTTGACCCTCTCGTTGTGCTCTTGTTGAAGAGATAACATGAACTAGAGCGTCTTAGCAAAATGGTTGTTATCTACATGCTCATACACATAGGTACGAAGGGTAACGACAAGGTGGACAAGTGGACTTAAACTGTCATAATCCAGCCCTAAAAATGCAATAAAAAACATGATTAAAAGAAAGTGGCTGGTTCAGCACAAAATCTCTTATGTATCAAGAGCACTGTCATTATTCCTTCAGAGGTTCTGACTATAGAAAAGTAATCTTCTCACTCGATTAAGAATAGGCCATGCGAGGCTAACATACATAAACTTTTGGGCCAAAGCGTATAGAGAAATGTTGCTCGACGTGTTCTATCTAATTAAAGGTGCAATTCCTGGGCTCTGTATAAAGAGTGCCCAGAAGTGCCTCCCAATATGAAACTTGTTCTGAGTATTTTTTTTTTTGGGGGGGGGGGCTCCTGTCCTATTTTTGGAAGAGACAGGGATATTTTATTGAATATAGTAGTGATTGTTTGGTGTACCTAGCGTGGTTTTAGAGTGAATGTATTTATTGGCATGAATGTGTAGTGCATAAGCAGAATATTGAATACCCCCTAACTACCCACAATTAGGTTAGTTATATAATGGGTGTGAATGGTGGTAAAAGAATATCAAGTACTCCATCACCCTAACAGAATAAATCATATGTAAATAGGAAAGAATGTATTGAAGAATGAATGAGAGTATGAATGGGATTGGATTTAGGAACTGATTGCCCTAGGGGATGAAATGGCCTAGTTGTTGATAGCGTGAGGAGCCCAAGCTTGGCAGTCATACGCATAAGACCGAGGTCTGATCACAGACTGCCAACACCCGGGGATAGGTGATTGTTGAGGCGAGCCAGGAATTTATTGTGACTTACAAAAGCTGGACTTGCCAGTGGACTACGGGAAGTGATAAGTTCGACTCTGTATACATTCAGAAGTGCACTTACATAAATCAGTAAATGACACCGTGAACTAAAATCAAGTTAACATTGAATATAAACTACCATTGGCATACATGGATATAAAAATTGAATAAACTGGAAAATCCTGGGATGATTTTTTTTATACCAAAATTGATGAAATTTAATATTAAAAAAAAAAAAAATGACTTCAAGTTTCACATTTTATTCTTGAACATCATGGAGCTTAATATTTTATCCGTTGACACATAAGGGACATGCATCAGTCATGATAAAAGTTTTAAATTTATGCCACCACTTACAAATTAGTTTCAATCAAGATATGAATTATAACTAATAATTGTAAAATATGAGTATAAAACAATAGACATCGTAAATTTTAGAAAGCTTCCAAATTGCCATATCTATCTCCAAACACATTCTAAAAGTTTTTTTTTTTTTTTTTTATATTAACATGAAACTATTCTGCGATTAGAATGTAATTCCTCTCATACCGAAAGGGATTAATTTCCAACTACCATTGGGTGTCATGCGCAAGAGGTCGAAACAATTTACAACACATTTTTAATACTATAATCAATTAAAAATCCATGGCCTGTGCCGGGATTCAGACCCGGAATCGCTCACATGGCAATTGATAATATATAAGTTAAAAATTTTTTTGTTTTTTTAAACAACCCACCTGCTGCATGTGAAATTTAAATTTGATCCAATTTGTACATGATGAGTAAATTGACTTATATGTGAAAAATAGGATCTAAAAGTTAATTTGAGCAATAAAAATGGGACAGTTTGTAAGTTTATAACTGTAAAGCTTAAGCTCAAATTTACAATGGTTTGAATACCATAATGTTACTGTTTCCAGATTTAACAGGAAAATATATACTTAGTACAAATATAATTTCTGAAAAAAAATTAGAATGTCATTGACAAACCACCTTCACAATTGGCTTCATTTTATTACATACACTACTATTTTTGACTTTTTAGATACAATTTATTATCATCAATACTTTTTTTGATTTTTGCCTTAATTATCCCAATTTTTTGTTTGAAACCAACCTTATAATATATGATGTATTGAGGTCTTTTATTTCACACGAATTTAATTCTAGGAGTATGAGACCTCCTCCATTACAAATATAAAGAGATAACATAGCATAGTTATGACAATTCAGGCAGCTTCTGTTCAAACCCCTAAATTATTTAATAGATCCTTTGTTTCCCTTTGTTAAGATGCAGTGGCTAATTAAATGTCGAGTTCAACCTAAATTACAAACACTTCAAACAGTAGAACATTAATAACTGTGACCTTTTTATGGTATGGAGCAGGAGAATTTGTGCCATTTCTTGGCGACCAACACGGCACTCGCATCTGTAATGACACCATTTTTGGGGCTCACAACATGGGTGTGAATTGAGCCTCCAGTATGCCAGTAGGTTTCCATAGAAGAAACTCATTTTCAAAGGGAGTCGGAATGAATTCAGGGTTACTGAGTCCGATCCCGCCCAGACCATCCATTGAGGAGTGCTCTGTCAATTTTCATTTTTCGCCAGCAGTCCCCTTAAACGTAAAAAAAAAGTCCAGAGACGACAGTGGAAATCGACCGTGGGATCTACTAGCCGAGAGTCTAATGACTAATGACACTCTGTTATCATGGTACCCGGTAGCTCTTGATATTCTTTCCCTTTTTGTCACAAATGGACCGTCTAACAAGCCTCAAAAGCCCTCAATCTCCCACCTTTACATGTCTATGTCAACAGACTCCTGAGACATAAGAAAATAAAACCAGATATAAGGAGGGGCCATTCTAAAAAGAATTAAAATAAATGAGATGGCTACAACGGTGTCTGACAAGATGAGAGAAAAGCTCAACTTTGAGAGACCTTTCCAAGTGGACTTAGAAACTAGAGACATTTGGAAAAAAGGTGGCCCCCAAGTTTCAAGAAGGGGTGTTAATATGGTACACAGATGGGTCAAAGATGGAACAGGGAGTAGGCTTAGGGATAAAAGAGCCGAACTACATCCTAGCGAAGTCCCTCGGTCTAACCCCAATGCTTTTCCCAGCTGAAGTCCATGCGATACAACTATGTGCACAGGAGATTAGATTCTCTCCAAGTCAGGCAGCCATAAAGGCACTAAATGAGTATGCTTTCAGCTCCAAATTTGTCTGGGAGTGCCTAAAATGCCTAACGACCCTGAGAAAACAAATTAAGATAACTTTAAAGTGGGTTCCTGAACATGAAGCATAGAAGGAAATAGACAGGCTGACCAACTAGCCAAAAAAGGGGCAACCCTCTCACCCATGGGACCAGAACCACAACAAAGTTCTCCAGAGTGGGTGTTAAAATTGGAACTGGAAAAATGGATTGAGAAAGAAAAAGTCAAACACATGATAAATACTCCAAGTACGAGGCAAGCTAATAGATATATAACCATCTATAAACAGAAGTTGAAAGAACTCCTCTCGCACAGCAAGCACTATAGGCCTCTACATCAGCCACTGCCTTCCTAACTATCACCTTAAAAAGATGGGAAAGATGAGATGGAAACATGCCAGAGATATCAACACATGTCCTTTGTGAATGTAAAGTGTTAGCCGATTACGGTTTACTTTGGCAGGACATTTCTCATACCCAAGGGGATCCAAGAAGAGGCACAGTTTTATAAGAAATAGAGCACATTCCAACGTATGGCAATAAGCTATAGGGTTTTACAATAGATGTGTTTAGATCATAGTGGAGGAAATGATTGTATTCTGCATCAACCCCCTCCCCAAAACCTTTTAAAAACCACCCTTTTACACTTCAACTGCCAATGTCCAGTCTAAGGACCGGACAAGTTATATTGCATGATATCCTTTTTTATTTCCTTAAACCAAAACATTTCTTTATTTATGCATGGCAAGATTCTTCAATAGTCCATTATCGAGTAGGGATATGTATTCAAAGTGAACTCTTATAGTGAGAAGAAAAGCCTGGAAGACCTGGCTCAGCATAAAGGAAGGCTGTGGGGGTACTCGGGCAGCCAGAACAGCCTCCTGATGAAGAACTGCATCTGTCTGGACATTTCTCCTCCCTGAGTACACTCATTCTGAAATACATTCTTGCCTATTTACAGACCACTCATTCATTGGAAATGGTTCAATTATAAGCCTTGATATAAGCAAAATTGTAGTTCTAAACAAAAATGGGAGTAAAGCTTTAATGACAAATATTAAGAGTATGAATTGAAATAATATAAAGCTATCCCAATATTTAAAAAAAAGAAGAAAATGAATTGAGTTGTAATTTATTCTAGTCATGTGTTACTGAATAAGGTAAAATTATAAAAAAAACACATTCCAAATTAAAACACAACTTAAATTTAGAATCTTGAATTTTTTTTAAAAATAATATCCCAAGAAATAAAACTAATATATCTGATTAAAAAAAAGAGAGAAAATAAAAAATAATAATATAGTAGGTATGGAAATAAAGGAGAGGTAAAGGGACCGAGTTGTATGAGAAGAACTGAGAATAGAGAATATAGTAGAAGAATAAAAAGAAGAAGTGAAGGAGAAGAGCGGGTGAGGTTGAGGATGAATTTGGGAAAATAATTGTTGAAAAGGGGAAAAACGTGTGGTGGGGTTGTCGGACGTGGTCGTTCCTCTCCGCCGTATGATTTGTTTTTTATTGCTGCGAACCGAGAGCGCTCTGCCCAACGGCTCGAGAACCGAGTTGGAAACGATAGCGAGTGCGAGTCGCGACCCAGTCCAGTCTCGAAACATGACGATGGAGCGTGTCCCGTCTCGACGATTTTAACCATCCAGTTCTTGACTTTCTTCGGCCCATTTGAAAAGAGTGTGACTCAAGAGACTCGTTTTCATCGCCGGCTTCACAGTTCAAAATCGGTCTCGACGGTCGTTGATCATGTTCAATTCACGCGGAGTGTCGCGTCCGTTGTACAGTGTTTTGAGGATACGAGAGTCGTCCTGGTCATGTCCCTGAGCGGTGCGAGGACTAACTGATTTTCGTCGACTCTGTGCCGGCGTTTGAGTTTATAGCTGAAGGATTCTTAGTCGTAGAGTATCGTCTTTCGATCTTCGCTAAAGATGCCGAGCGGCAAACAGCGTTCCGAAAGGAAGACCCAGAGGGAAAGCGGAGAGGACTCGGAGGACGAGAGTGAAGTCCTGGAGGAAAGCCCTTGCGGCCGTTGGCTCAAGAGGAGAGAAGAGGTGAGCTTTTACTTTTTTTTTAACTTTTACTTAATCCTTTCCTATTTCAAATATCGACCGGCACCTTTTCCACGGGTACTTCTCAGACGCCGGCCTTATAAAACGGCGCCTCGTGCTGCCGGTTCATCGACTCCAAATCTTCCACTCTCCAATACCTCCAGGCAACCTTACAATCTAAGCTAATTTCAATTCTTAAAATTGATCTTTCATACCGGTTGGAAACGACGGCCGTTTTTTTAACCAGTAACTCCAGAAGATCCTTTTCTTAATGACTGTCGTGGGGAGGTGAAATCTTGTATCAAAACTCTTGTGATAACTCGGAAGATAAAATTTCAAGTCAAAGCCGTTAACGGTAAAAAAAATCCAATTTCAGTCTGTTTTTCTCCCAGTACGAATAACAGTTTATTTTCCGTTCAGAAACAAATACGTACAGCGTTTAGCATATTTCAGAGAATACGGCTTAGGACAAATTCGCGCTTTTGATTCCGTTTCGATCCTAGAGGCTTTGATCGAAAGCGAAAACCGGAAGGTTACGGGATTTCATTGACTGCATTATTGTTATTATTATTATTATTTTGACACTTTGTCACAAAAAAAGTTGTAAAATATAACAAACTGCCGAATTGCATAGTATTTGCCATAAATGTCGGGTTTTCCCTTCGTATTGCACAATTGCAAACATTGCGGGTACGTTATCGGCGATTGCAACATATAAACCGGCGTTCAAATCCGGTCAGCCCTTCGGCGTTTCGCTCAATTCGTATAATTTTCTTTTAAAAAAAACTGCCTTAGAATTTTTTTTCCCACCCGGTGAAGTACTTAGTCGAACCCCAATCTCAGTTTATCAATCAATTTTGTGACTTAGAAGTAAGGGTGAAAATTCGAACAGATAGGTCAATGATAGTCGTTCAGGTAACAGTTGTGTGCCGTCAGTTGAATGGAAAATTTCGAGTACTGAAAAACATAGACTGTCTTCGACATAATTATTTTCTATCCGGTTAAGTAGTTGTCGAACCACAATTTCAATTTGACAATCATTTTTATGATTTTGAACTAAGGGCGAAATTTCCAGCAGATCAGTTCAACTTAGTCGTTCGAGTAACAGTTGGGTGTCGTCAGTTGAATGGAAAATTTCGCGTCGACCGCATCGAAAAGAAAGAAATTTTTTCTGTGCGTTCGAAAAACTCCAATCAGGTTTACATCCTTTCCAACCACGATACTCTTTGTTTTGCCCCTGCTACTAATTTGAAGCAGCTATCAAAATTTCTTTTTTTCGTCTGTCGCCCGTTCCGTGCACTTAAGCATCAGGAAGGACTGACGTTGAAAAAAATAGTGTCTGACATAATTAGTATTTTCCTTCCGTTAAGTCGAACATCATTTTCAATTTATCACGTTATGTGCTTTTGAACTAAGGGCAAAATTTTCGCATTCACTGCGTGGAAAAGAAAGAGCCTTATTAATTTATTGAAACGTACAGACTTCTTGTGCTTCTTTGATAAACCAGCAAAAACAGTTTAGACTGAATAGACAAAACGTCCACTAAGAACATTTTGTTTCATAGAAATGAGCAAATATCCGTCATCAGTCGGATAGAACTGCTGACTTAATTTAAAGTTGTGTCATTGGTCAGTTTAAATCTTTCTTTAAAGCGTATAATAAAATTTTTACCGTTTGCTTCCATCTTCCCAAAATTTGTGGAATGATTTTACATTTTCCTTGAAGTTTGGCCTTCAAGATTTTGCGTTTAAGGTGTTTTCAGAAAGACCGATAATTGACTTTTTTTGTCGCGTTTACAATAGAAATTAATGTGCAATTGACAAATTCAAATCCTAATTATAAGTCAATTAGGATGTTTTTTCTTAGTATTCTTCAATAACAGCTTTCTTGGTTCGAAAACCAGTCGTGGAATCAAATATTTAAGTATTTTTAGTTCCTTATAAAAAAATTCTTCTTGTTGAATTATTTGAACCCCGTATGGAGGTTGTTTTTCATTAAGACATCTCTCTTTCTCGTTCGACGCATTCTTCTATGATTAATTGCATGATTGAATTTGACTGCGGTTTGCAGAATTGTGAGGTCTGCGGGGTTACGGGGTTATCGCTCGTTTCCTTATCAATTTAGTCCCTGTGGTGGGTTAGTTGCCTCTCCCAACATATTTCCGTGATTTGAGAACAGATATTGAATCACTTCAGCCAGCCCGAAATGATTTGAAAGCGACCAAAATTCTGTATTCTGCAGGTTTAAAATTGAGGTTGTGACCTGACTGAGATCGGTCGTTTCCGAATCAATTTGGTCTCTGGTCGGTTTTATAACACTCCCTACTTATCTCCCTGATCTGAAGACCGATATCGATGAAATGTTTCGGAAACGTCCAACATTTTGGGTTCTGCAGAATCGTGAGTTTTCTGGTCGGGGTCTGGCGGGGTGACGGATATAGGTCGTTTCCAAATCAATGTTGTTTCTATGGTCGGTTTTTTGCCTCTCCCTACTTACATCCCTGATCTGAAAAACCGATATAGAGACGCATCATCCAGTCCGAAATGATTTATAAACGCCCAACATTTTAGAAGTTCTTAAAACCCCAGAAGGGCCTCAATCTTTGTCTATGTTTTTGTCATGCCCGGTGTCTAGGGTCGTTGTCATTTCTGACGAATAACAAGCAGCAAGGATTATATTAGCAATTTTTTTTATATCATGTGTATTTAAAATTAAAACCCACTTTGATGATAAGTTCAGAATTAGCAAAGGAAATCAGTCAACAGTATTGTGTGGCATGTCTAACAATATGGAACTCACACGTCCGTTGATTAACGTAAAACTAAAATACTTCATACGTAAATTGCACAAATTTACGTCATGAATTGCTGACAAGTTGTTTGCTGTGTAAAAATGAGATAGTCCTTGAGGTAATAAAAAACGCTAGGTGAATTTTTAAACATTCATCGTCATTGAATTTTCCTTTCCTAGTTTTGATCAAAATGAACTCGAAAGGGGCTGGATTTGATGAAAGCTGGTGTCTCCCTTTCACGTCGATTGAAGTTGAAAGCCGGGTCTATCGTTGTAGTGCTTTAAAGTTGTTGCGTTTGTTCAATTTATTCGTAAAATATATTCAACCAATGGACTTTCACCTCGGTGTAGATAATAAGAAATGGTGTATGCAACTCCACCATACTTAGGCTATTAATATTTTCTATATGTGCACAACAGTTTACTTTGGTTTTAGCTGTTGAGATACATTACTTAGAATATAGAAAATTTAAATCCAGGCATTTAACGAGTTAGGACGGAATAATGCTAATTCGTTAGCTACGTTACCTGGGGTTCGTTAACCCCGGTAAGTGAATAGGAAAATTGTTTTGACATTCCCGCGATAAAATATCGGACGACATTCTTCACTAAACAAACCCGTCTTTAGCTGTCAGTCCCTGCTTAGCCGGCCGAATTCCAATTGTTTTGACAAGATTCTACGTTTATCTGTAACACGGATAAGATAATAATATTTACAATCGTTTGGACGGTCTCCCTAATTTTTCTGTTTACAAATAACGGGATGAATGTGAAAAGTTTGACTCATATCTCGCCCTATCTCGGAAACAATGGATTTCATAGAAATGAGTACGACAGCGAGTCTTTTACGGCCTTTTTATGCTTACTCAGCCAGCCGGAAACATCGTAATCAAAGATTTAAAATAATTCAATCAATTTTTGTTAAAACCGCAGACTGTTTATAGAAGTAATTGTTCGGAACCGAAACAGTTTTGTGAAATTTATTCTTGACGTCTGGGGAATGTTGAAATTACAGAGTTGTTCTTGTGGAGGGTTAGTGTCTCTCCCTTCTTATTTCCCCGATCTGAAAACCGACATCGAAACGCGTCAGCCAGTCCGAAGTGATTCGAAATGACCAAAATTTTAAGGATTTGCAGAAGGTTTATGGTTGAAGGCTGCGGGGTGACTCACACCGGTCGTTCCTGAATAAATCTGTTCTTTGTGGTGATTTAGTGCCTCTTCTTACTTATCTTCCTGATCTGACATCGAAATGTGTCAGCCAGTACGTTATGTTTCGGAAACGACCAATATTCTAGGTTTTGCAAAAGTCCGATCTTCCTCCGTCTAGATTTTTCTAATGACCAAGTTGTTTGCGTTTCTGTCTAATAACTGTAACGAGGATTATGTCGGCACCTTTTTTTAAAGGCACCTGCACTGGAATATGGTGATATGCATTTAAAATATTTTTAAAAAAACACTTCGATAATAAGTACAAAATGAGCGAAGGAATCAATACAAAGTATTAATTATGCGTAGGTTTATGCCTCTCCCTACTTATGACCTTAATACTTAACACTTTTCTTATAATAAAAAGGCGCCTAGTGTCAGAACGGAGAAATAAAAATATTAAAAAAGGAAAATTTTAGCTTAAAAAAAAAAAATTAAAAAAAATAAAAATAAAATAAAACAATTGCGAAACCAGAGCCTATTCACAAGGCGTATACGTGTCCGATATTTTGGGGTGTCGAATCACCAATAAAAGTTGGTCCAAATCCGTGACCCCACAAACCTGGCCCCCTTGTTAGTTCAGTTTGAAATGTACTTTTTTTTAAAAATAGGAAGAAACCTATAAAGTATCAATCGCTTTTGGACGGTGTACGGTTTTTGTAATTATCCCCGAGTAAGGATATAGTTAGAGGTAGGCATACTTCGCCAAGACGTGCACCCTTGTCCACAGGGACGCATTGGGGATCTGTGCCCCTCCTTGGGCGCATGCCAAACTGTAAGCGCCCTTACTTTTTTTTTATATTTTACTTTCAATGTCAGATCAAATTTCAGTCTATTTCTTACACGCATTTTTAAAATTTATTGATTCATAAGTTGAAAAATTAATTTCCAGCCTCTAACACGACGTTGAGATGGAATTATACTTTACGAATGTAGCAATTAATTTAACATTTTCTCGACCTGGGTTGAGTTTTATATCAAAATTGTTTGTAAATGTTCAATTACAT